CTACGACCAGGAGATCCTCTACCCGTACGTGTACCTGTGCGAGCATCTGCCTCGGGACGAGGAAAACTTGATTGAGCTTGCGTACGGCATCAGCAAGTCGATCCGCTGGACTCTGGGCAAGTACTACGCAGTGCTGCCTGCGTGTCTCGACAGAGACCTGGATCTTCTTCCCGAATTGGGCGCCGGCACTGCTCTCGATTACATGTACCACCAGAGAGCATACTGGGCGTACCAGTTGAAGCTCCGAGACAGCGGATCGCATGGTTTCTTGTTGCCCAAGAAATACATTGAGCCTGTGGGCGAGGAGATAGCCGCGGGACTCAAGTACTTTTGCAAGTTTATCTTGACTAGTGGCGAGGCTTTCGCTCGGTAGGTGGCGAGGTCGGGTTCGGCCTTCTTATCGGAAGCGCAATGATAAGATAAAATATGAATGTACGAACGGGAACAAGCGCAAATAGGGGCCCACAGCCTCAGCGGGAGGGAGTCGATTCTCGCGTGAACACGTTACCGACTCCTTTGCAAATCGTATAGGCTTTAGGCAATTTGTAGCGATTTTGTGAATATTCCGGAAAGGGTAGCTGTGGGTATGAATTGTCGCATGTTTTAGGTATTTACGTCAGTTTTGCAGCCGCTATGCAAATCGCAAACTCCCAACCGTCCGCAAAAATCCAAAAGGGGTCGGGTGGTTTTGATACTTTGGATGTATGGGTTTTAGGGAGTAAGCTACACGATGAAGCAATTTTTGTTGAATTTGGGCTGCCTCTGGTGGGCCTGCTGGGGTGGATAGGAGAGACTGGGTTCAGGTGACCTGCATAGATTAGGCACCCCGGCTTTTTCCCAGACACTTGCTAAAGTGGATTGCCTAGGTTGACCAATCACCCGGGCTTCTGTGCGGTGCAGTCTTTGCCGAACTGTGGTGCATTGTCTATAGGAATGTAAGTCAGCGCAAGTTTACCACCCTTGCGTGCATAGTGGGTTAGCCAAAAGTGACGATTTATACAAAACTGGCTTCTGTGCACGAAGGTGTTGATTATGTTGCTGTTAAATAAACAGGCAAAGAAAAAAAAAGGAAATAATGGGGCGTTTTCGAGGGGCAAGAATTCTAGATTCCCCTCTGTCAGATGAAAGTCCAGCAGAAAAAGAAAGCTGGTGGTGCCCAGCGTTTGCATTACGTCATTCAGCCAAGCCGTTTTTGAGGGGCGGAACAACTAGGAAGAAATCGGGTGGAGGGTTTTTCAATTACAGGGATGTAGACAGCAGCAGAGGCCGGGCCACAAAATCGTAAAGCGAGCCTCACCAAGCAAGGCTCGTTCGAGAGGCTCAATCTCGGAGATTTGCGCACAATCAGTGCCTCTGGTAAGTCTGGACTGAATAAATGGACTGAATAAATGGACTTACCAAAAAGGACTCAATGAATCACGGACTGAATAAATCACCGTGAATGCCTGGATAAACGGCCCGGCGCCTGGACATGGCTAGTGCCGTCAAGACGTCCCGGGCAGGAAATACGTAATACAATACCTCTAGTAGCTTTTAGCACCACTGGGCAACATTATGATCGGGCCAGGCCAAGGGATGGACACAAGGCCACAAAACGAATTTTCCGAAGATCAGCTGGAGCGGTGCATTACGTCAGGAAGGAGCTCTGGCGCCGTGCCGTGGCGGGTTAGCCCTCTGTGCTTGACTAACCAAGAAACCACCAAGTTTCATAACTGAACCACAACGAGGCTTGTCCAGGGAAAACGACAATGCTTTACCGCGAGCGTGAAACGTAAATGCTCGTTGCAAAAGAAAAAACACGAGCTTTCTGGTTATGGCGGGTAAGATTGTTCGGCGCATGTTGGTTGCTCAGCAAGGTGAGACACTCGATGTGGTATTGCCGACCAGCCAAGCACGTTTACATCATCAACAATAATCACCGCAAGAGGCAGGAGACCAAACCGCTTGACAGCCGTTGGCCGTAGGCCGTTGGGCCTTTGGACCAACCTGAGCCCAATAGGTATAAGCGTAGTTAGGTTCAGAGACTAAAGCAGTACCCTAAAAAGCACAATCTCTTTGACTGCAAAACCCAGCCACAAATCTCCACCGAAAACCTTATCGCTGGGTCGTGGCGGTGACGCCTACACATGGCCACAGGGTCCTTTGTGTTGCTCCCACCGGTGGCTGCAAAATAAACGTAATAGCACAGGTTGCGGCGAGTAGACCCACGGGCCCGGAAACGTATAAATACGGGCCCATTTCTGAAACATTCAAGCCATCCCAAACACACCAAACACCAAATGTCCCCAACAGCCAACTTCTCCGAGTCCGGTCCCAGACCAAACTACGACTACTACCAGCTCAACGACGGCAACAAGATCCCTGCCATCGGCTTGGGCACGTATAAGGTAACCGACGCCGACGAGGCCAGACAGTCCGTGAAAACGGCTCTCCAGTCCGGCTACAGACACATCGACACTGCTTCCAGATACAAGAACGAGGAGCAGGTTGGTGAGGGTATCAGAGAGAGCGGAGTGCCTAGAGAGGAGGTTTTCGTCACCACCAAGTTGTGGAACGCCGACCACCACGATCCTGAAGGCGCCCTCAACGAGTCCTTGAAGAAGCTCGGCTTGGACTATGTGGACCTCTATCTCATCCACTACCCTGTCAACCTCGAGGAGAAGGTGTTGGCGCAGCCTCACCACTACGACTTCCTTGAGACGTACAAGGAGATGCAGAAGCTTGTGCACCTGGGCAAGGCCAAATCCATTGGAGTGTCCAACTTCACCAAGGAGCGGGTGGAGCTTTTGATCAACGACCCCGAGGTGACTGTCAAGCCCGTGGTGAACCAGATCGAGGCTCATCCTTTGCTCACCCAGCCTGACCTCAAGGAGTTCTGTGACGAAAACGATATCTTGATCGAGGCCTTTTCTCCACTTGGCCTGGCCACCTCGCCGCTTTTCGAGAACCCCGTCGTCAAGGCTGTTGCTGAAAACAACGGCGCCACCGCAGGCCAGGTGCTTGTGTCGTGGGCTCTTCAGAGAAACACCGTTGTGTTGCCCAAGTCTGTCAAGGAAGAGAGAATCATCAGCAACATGAAGACGTTTACGCTTTCGGAGGCGGACTTCGAGGCGTTGAACAACTTGAGCGCTAAGTTTGGCGAGCAGAGAACATGCAACTTCCCCTGGGGCGTGTTCAACTAAAGCAGCTGGTTTTCAGGCATCCACAGGTGGATGAATGGCTGCAAAATCGGCGTGGTGCGGCCGTGCGACATGGCTGCAAACCGATAGACAGATTGAGCTAGACTTGAATATATTTACTTCTGGAGACGGGGCGGCCGAGGCGGCTCAGCGCTCAGCGCTGAGGCGGCGAGGCCCTGAGCGATTTGTAGATTTTGGGATTAGTAGAAAAAAAAAAAATAAGGGGTTTGTGTGGTGGGTGGTAGGTGCTGTGTCTGGTGAGGTGGGCGCGACATTTTTCACAGAGGGGGCCGTGAATGGCGGTGATTTTTCTTGTCTGTTTTCTTTTTCTTCTTTTTCTCTATGGTCGTGGATGGCGGGTCGGTGATTGGTGCGTGGATTCACGGCACTGTAAGGGGAATCCAAGGTGGCGTGGTGGGGTGATAGTGGAGGGGATGGCTACCTGGTGGATGTGATACCGGTGGAAGAAATACCGGTGGAAGAAATACCAGTGGAAGCAGTTTTGATGAAGAGGTTTAATTAAAGGAGGGAAAAGTTCATAGGAAGAGGTTTTGAGTCGGTGATTGGGGGTCCAGGTGAGTGAGTCGTGTGACAAGGTAGTCGCAAATGTTATAGACTGAATGGTAAGCATTGGTCCCAGTGTCGAAGCTATAACTGCTCCGATCTTCTGGTTCAGTAATTTTCTTGGGGCAGAGACCCCATAAGTTTCACATTTACAAAGACAAATCGAAAGAAGTACCTCTTCACCTGAGTACGATAAAACACTGAATCCTGAAGATTTGTCATTCCTGAAAATTCGTTACTCCCGAAGATTTGACAAATACAGACATAGCGATTTGCCTTAGCAGACTGTAAAACCCCACCCAGAACTCTAAACCAGTAAGGCTACATCCCCAGCGGGACACTAAACCACCTAAACAGTACTCTGGCCCACCTCCACGGATCGGAACACCACACCGCCCGGGCCCTTCTCTCGCCAAATCCGTCCGATTGTCCACTATCTACACACAAAGCCCCATGTGACGAACGCGGTTCGTATCTCGGCTCGCATACGGCTTAAGCGAGTAGAAGGTGGCTGCAAACACTGGAAATACACCCATATCATCACCAGTTGAACTTCCACAAAATTCTCTAATTTTTCATCCCACGCTCTCCCAGGGGGCCTGTTTCCATTAACGCCCGAAACAGCCGTATCCCCGTTGAGCCAAGACTCGGCGGGATTCTCGACCCTCCTCCTTTCTTGATATCTGCACCAAAACCACCATCCACAAAGAGGCTATGTCCGCCCACAGCCACGTACTCCTGAGATGCTCCCGCCTTCAGTGACCGTGTTGCCTTCACATGGACGGTGGTAAGAAAAAGCAGAGCAAAGCAACACTCACAGTCAGAGCGTAATGGCCCATAGCAGCAAGAGTTTGGAACCCAATCTCCGTCCCTGCCATTAAAAGTTCCCATTGAAACTAACAAGAGCAAAAGCAGAAAATCAGCAATTGTAGCAAAATCAGAAAACCAACAAAACTAGCAAAATCAGAAAACCACCGCTCCATTGGGAGCGAGACATGCCCCAGTTAGTACACCTCTGCCCACTAAGGCCCTCCAAAAGCCAGGCGTATTTCCCTATTAGGCTAAGGCCCGTACCAAGAAGAAACCGGCGATGGCAAGAAGAATAGCGACAAGAAATCCACGCGTGGGTTTTCTCGTGAAAAACCCCACCGCCATTGTCCCACCCACTCTTTGTTACTACACCTCGCGGTTCACCATATCAAGCCCATGGATTCCAGTTCTCTTTTTTTTTTTCTTCTTCACCTTTAACTAGTTACTATGATCACTCGCAGCTTAGCCTTCCTTTCCTCGCTTGCCATTGCCGCCGCCAACGACGACGTTTTCCACCACTTGGGCACTCCATCCTTCACGGGAGCTCAGGCCCTGGAGTTCCTCGAGGATTTCAACTCCTTCCAGGAAACCGCCGGCTTGTACGAGGCCATGGGCGCCTACACGCAGCAGATCTTCGAGGCCGAGGCCCAGAGCGTGTGGGAAGAGTACTTGTGGGAGACCTACTGGTACGGATATGAGAGCATTCGTCAGAAGTACCCTGACGTTGCACCTGTGACGCCCACGGACCAGACCTTCCCTACTGAGTTGGTGGACTTTGACTCGGACGAGATGGAGGAGATTGAGCAGATTTTCCACTCGGAGCTCTTCTCCAGCTTCAACCAGGAGCACCTGATTCGTCGTGAGAGTGTCAGAGCTGCTGTAGCCGAGGCCAATGTTCCAGTGGAGACCGGTGAGCCTCAGGAGACTGGCGAGCCAGAAGAGACTGCAGTTGAAACAGGAGTGGAGACCGGTGCTGCTAACGAAACCGCTACGGGAACCGTCCAGACCTCTCCTACTGGAACTGCCATCGACACCGACACCGAGGAGACTGAAACCACGGATGAAACCACCACCGAGGAAACTGAAACGACCGATGAAACAACCGCTGAAACAACAGACGACACCACCACCACGGGCCCCACGGCTGCTGGAAACACCACCACTGCTGATAATGCGGGAGCCCGTCCAGGCTACTACGCCGCTGGCGGTCTTGCTGGTGCCGTGGCGCTTGCCTTGTTCTGAGCGGACGGCTATATATGAATTGATTTGAGTTATGGTTTAGGATGTGGGGGGGGGGGGGGGCTAGATGTATTTGAAGATGGGAGAGTGATGTGAGGTAGTAGGTGATGAAGAGCGTATCTGGAAGGAATGGTTCAGAATGACTTTGGAACATCTTGAGCCAAGGTGTCTTGGAAGATTGGAGGAGGGGGAGAGAAGGTGAGGTATGGAAGGAGAGGGAAGTAGGTCAATTGCTGCGTTTAGGAGGATGGTAATGAAGAGAGCATCTGGAAGGAATGTTTTAAAAGAATTCTGGAAAATTCTGAATCGATTCCAGTGTCTGAACGAGGAGGTGCATTAGATAAGTTTTCATGAACCTACATGGACGCTACTTTGAATCTTCCAGGGCATCCGAGAGAGTCAGAGGAAGAACAATCGAAGCTGGGGACCTTCAGATACTTAAGCCGGAGGAATCAACAGAAGAAGCCTCCAATTATGCCGGGTGGGTTTAGAAAGGTTTTTCCAGAAGCACAGCCTCCGAATCAGGAATACCCACGTCGTACCAGGATGCACTTGGTTGCACTGACAGGGCTGAGTGGGTCACTGAAATTTGCGAATTGGAAGTTTTCAAGGCGTTCTTTATGTCTTATACCTCTCACTTCTGTAGTTTCCAGGGATGTTGACCTTGGAATTATTCACCTGGCTGATCTTTGGCTTTTTTTTGGGAGCTTGGTGTTGTAGTTTTGGGATACCTTTATTTGATAATTAAGTAACGTGGATGTATTTCATGAAGCATCGAGAAATAAGTGGGTGGAACGGCATTTACTAGCTGGTATTGAGGTCACTGGAGAGAGAAAAGGAGGGATTGAAGTCGGAAATATAAGACACCCACCGACAGAGGTACTTCTGTTATCCAGTAGGAGACCTCTCATTATTGCCTTCCATCTCCTCAATTAACTCTAGACTGATTGATGCAAATAAGGTCCAATCTAACCACACTTGAGAGGAGATCTGGGTCAGAGAACGCAAACGTAGAGGTACATTCATCATCGACTGGCCATGTAGCTGGCAAACCCAACGAATAACATCCTACGCCAATTGTTATTTGAATCGACTTAAAAAGTAGAACGCATTCCGTCCATTCCCTGGTAGATCGAAATACTGCACAACAATATGCCGATGGATCCACCAAATAGAGTATTTGAGGCCTCCAGCAGTGTATTTTGAGTTGAATTCGTCTTATTTTTCATCAGCATTGACTCATTGAACGTTAGAAAGCGTATTGAGTGGGTCTTCGACACCAGTGCTTAACTTTCCACATCTTACCTTCATCATCGCTTGTCTAGCCTATTTAATTTGGCTCATTTCTTCAATAATTATTTGATGCCACTTCGGTATTGGAAAAGAAAAATGTAGCCGTGCCGAACATCATACACTTGGCATTGATTGTTGCAGCCGCGATAAGTCAAGACCTCAATGTCCGGTTCGGAATATGCCTACTGAGATTCCAGAAGGGCGGTAATTGATTTATTGATTAAATGCTACGATATCCATTGATTTGTTAAAAAAGAATTCTATCTGAACCCTCCGTTCGACGATATGGTCAATGTGCATCTGCCTGTTTCAAATATCGCAACCTCGAAACCAAATTGTCATTTCAATGACTCAATTGCTCGTCTAACGATGAGTCAGTTTGATACACATTGTTCAATTGATATAGCCCAAATTAGCCAGTCTCTTCTCCGTACTCTCCGCCATTAAAACTTGAACAATATACGCATCCACCTCACCTAAAGACACCTCTTCATCAATACCAAAGCTCCCTCTGGACAATAAGCATAATTCACAACTTTCCAAATCCAATTGGTAAAATCTCATAACCTCAAACCCCAAGAATCCATCATTCCATCCAATGAGTCGCCATGAGCCGTTCGTAAAACCACACATTGTTACCGATGAACCGATGCTTGGCGTCATATTTGACAAGGTATTTTCGACATATATAAAGCAGAGCCAAACTCAGCATCCACCTCATTCAAAATGAATTTCGATACCACCACCCAAACATTCGAAAGGGTACAAAACAACTCCCCACTCTTCGACCTGCTGGAGTTCTGGGGATATCCCACCTACACAGGACCTCTGGCCCTGGAGTTCTTAGAAGAGCTCAAATAGTACGACAGCAAGATCGAAATGACCTCTCATGGCAAGATCTACACCTCCAGAATCCCCGAACTCATCGACTCAGGCTTGTGGAATAACCTTGACGAGATTGAGGAGCTTCTCCACCTGTGGGATGAATACCGCTGGGAAACTTATTTCTACGGGTACCAGAGTCTCCTTCTCAAGTATTCTGAGGTCGAAGAGGTTCCAGCTTCCACGACGCCTTGTACCACGCTTTGTCGAGAAAATGAAAGTTTGTTGCAAGAGCATCTGAGGTCCATGAGTAGCGTGAGAAGTGCAGTGAAGGCGAAAATGGCCACACAGCTGTCGTCAAGAAACAACTTCAGTGGCAATGCTACGTCGAACAATAATGCTGCCACTCAGGCTGGATTCTATGCTGCTGGAGGAATCGCAGGCATGGTGGCACTTGCGTTATTGTGAGTGGATTGAGGGAATGGAGGATCTGAGGAGAATTGATTATTGGAGGTAACTTTGCGTTTAACTTGTATGTGAGGGGATGAACGAGAAATATGGGCATTGAAGGATCCAGAACGATAAAAATGAATTGCGGGAACGGTGCAAGCGAATTAAAGCTGCCCAAATCAAAGAGAAGTTAATAAAATCATTAAGCAGAAGAATTCAATTAAAGAAGAAACCAATATTTTAAATTTGATTGTGGTATGGATGAATTTTATTGTTGTGTTCTGAGCTCGGTGTCATAGGAGATCAACCTCGTATTTCTCGAAGCGAATGGCTTAGCTCGCATATAGGTCACTAGACGTCAAAAGATGCACAAAGAGAGTTTGTTAGTAAAAGCAAATTTCAATAGAAAAAAAGATGATTTCGTCTGCGTTCGACCTGTCAACCCCATTGGCTCGTTCTAGGTGAGCATACTCTGTAGAAAGAACATCGCCCTACATCACACTACGAAACGTACATTTTACAGTACGGCCAAAGAAGAAAAATCAGAAAAAGAAAAAAAATGCCGCAAGTTCAATTGGCTGGAAACGCAAAAAGTGAAATGGTCCAAGGGCCTTTGTTCCAGGCCTGTTTCAGGCAGGTTAACGCGATCGGCATCGAAAGTTCGGTGCAGAAATTCTCAACATAAATACAGTTTTTTTTAACGATTATTAAACAACAATCATTATAGTTTAAAATGAGCAATTCAGACTTGATGGTGGATGAAGTGATGTACACCGGTGTGCTGGCACTGGAGTTTGTGTCGGAGTGGAGTTCGTTCTTGAGCAAAGTTCAATATTCCTCTTACCTCCTGGCTTATTACTCTGACTATCACGCTGCGGTGGACAAATCAATTGTGGATACCACCGTGTTTGACTTTACATCTAAGTACGAAGATTATCAATGGGAGACCTTACAATATGGATACGTGAGTCTTACAAGCAAATACCCAGATGTGGTGGCGATCACTTCGACCCAAACTTTATTAGATGATTTTCTTGAACTTGATCCTTCTTTTGCTTCAATGATGAGTGAAAAGACCATTCTGGTGCTGCTGCGCCGAGAGAGTGTGAAAAGCGTTTTGAGGGCTAACATGACACTGGACGCTAGTTCAAGCGAGGTTATGCAGCTGAGTTCAAAGACATCTTCCAGTCACAATTCGACTTCAGATAGCAACGCAGCGGCTCAGGTCGGCTACTATGCCGCTGGCGGAGTAGCGGGAATGGTCGCTCTTGCGTTGTTGTAAGCGGAAATCTGGAGTATATGGATGTTCTAAGCTGAGTTTAGAATGACAAAACTAGATAAAGAAGGAACGTTGCAGCGAAGAAGCTGCACGATTCAAAGAGGGGTCAATTAAGTCGCTATCTTATTAAGAATTCATGATGTGAATTCAGCAAAATCATGTTCGGAGATCAGATAAGGTTCTCGAAGCGAATGGCTTAGCCCGCATATAGGCAAAATTAGTCCATTTAAAGTTGCACATATAGAGGTCCTCAATAAGAAAGTATCTAAGTTAAAAAAAGAAAAAGGATTTCGTCAGTCATCCACCGTCAACCCCATTGGCTCACTAGAGCCGAGGAAAAGAATGATCACCGCCTGCTTCAGGCGGGACCCCATATCTCACCACGAGGTGGAGAAAAAAAACCCTTAAGCCAAAGACGACAGAAACATAAAAAGAAAAAAAAAAAAAAAACGCCGAACTCCAAACGGCTGAAAACGCAAAAATACAATTGGTCCAGGCCTGTTTCAGGCAGGTTGACGCGATTCGAAAGTTCGGTGCAGAAATTCAACTACAACCACCAAACTTTACAATGAGCAATTCAGGCTTGGTAGTGAATAAAGTGACATACACCGGTGTGCTGGTACTGGAGTTTGTGTCGGAGTGGAAGTCGTTCTTGAGTGAAAATCAATATTCCTCTCATTATCTGGTTTATTTCTCGGAACTATCCTCATTAGCGTCCAATATAGGTTACTTCTCAGAGTGGCCTACATTTGCCTATGACGATTATTCATGGGAGACCTTAAGATATGGAATGGAGAGTCTCAGGTTCAAATACCCAGATGTGGCGCGGGTCACTGAGACCAAAGATGACGGCGATTGGACCGATGAATTTAGTACGGATCCTTCATTTTATTCCAAGGCGATCGAAGCACAGGCTCTGGGGCTGCTGCGCTTGGAGAGTGTGAGAAGTGCTTTGAGAGCTAACATGACCCTGGACGCTAGGTCGAGCGAGGTTAAGCAGCTGAGTTCAAAAACATCTTCCAGTCACAATACGACTTCAGATAGCAACGCAGCGGCTCAGGTCGGCTACTATGCCGCTGGTGGAGTTGCGGGAATGGTCGCTCTTGCCTTGTTGTAAGTGGATGTGTGGAGTTTAATTTGCAGCCAAAAAGTGGATATGCACGGCTTCGTAAAAGTCGGTGCTTAGTAGACATTACACGAGAGGGTGGAATGTAGGAGGGGAATGGCGTCAGAACAAGCAAAATGAGCAGGTGTGACAATTGTTGTTGATTTTTCATAATGCGCTGTGTGGTTCTTGGATGAGAGGCATGCATAGCGTTTTCGGTGAAACAACGCTTATCGGGATTGAGGATTGAGGATTGAGGATTGAGGACAAGATACTGAGGAAAGCGAGGAGAGCCATTTGTGCTTGATTTCACAAGATTGACATTCATGTGTTTTAGAGCTCTCTGATGGCCTTGGTAGATTCAATTGCCATGGTCGTTTAATAGATGTTAGATGAATCATCGAATTTACTAGACTTTTATCTAAGCAAGGAAGCTTTGTTAAAATATTAATGCCCCTCTGCAAAAAGCAGAAGAATACCATAGCCAAATGGACTATTTCTTCAATCTACAGTATACCTATCAAGCAGAGGACAGAACCCGGTCCATGTTTTACCACACAAATAACAAGGCAAACTCGAAGAACACACAACCGTAAAATGGTACAGCTCTCTCTCTCTCTTTTAAAAAAAAAAAATGAAAAACAGGTTCTTTCATGAAATCTTATGTGGCATCTCAGTCTGTCATGACAGTATACCTATAGAGCAGTCTGTCCCAGCCAAAGCACTCCATCTCTCGAATCACAAAAATCACTCAATTCACAAATTTCAAATAATTTGCAAAAAAACCCAAGCAGCCTCTTCACATCCAAAATCTTCAACCTCATCAACCTGAACAGACTGGGGTACTGTGAGAGAATGTCGCGGTTCCATGGACTCACTAGCTTCTGATACCACAGTAAGCATCTTCCATGTATATCTCATAACATACACCTTTTTCAGCAAGAACGTAATACTTTCCAGCGCCGTTCAACTAAATAATCCTAAAATGACCATCAAAAAAAAAAACATCATCTTTGTAGGAATGCCATGAGGCCATGAGTGGCTACCCCAGGTTTCCTGCATTCGTGACCATCACCACTTCCTACAACTTCTTCTTCATGGCTCCTCTGTACAAAGTCGTGCTTCTAGGAGACTCGTCCGTGGGAAAAACGTCCCTTGTGTACAGACTCACCCTGGACAAGTTCGACGAAAACCTGCCCAACACCATCGGCGCCGCTTTCCTTTCAAAAGAACACTCGAGCAACGAAAAGACAGTCAACCTAGAAATATGGGATACCGCCGGCCAGGAGCGCTACAAGCTGCTCACGCCCATGTACTATAGAAACGCCAAGGAGGCGCTTGTTTGTTTTGATCTTTCGTGTCCGGAATCCTCGTTTGATAGAGCCCGATACTGGGTGGACCAGCTCAAGGTTCTGGGACCTTCTGATATCAAGGTGAGAGTGGTGGGGAATAAAAAAGACCTCGTGGACGAGAACGAGATTGATTTGCTGAGAATCAGAGACTTTTGCTCCGAGAACAACGTGTCGTTGTACCTCACCAGTGCCAAGTTGAGCGAAGGTGTGGTGGAGCTTTTTGACGAGATCGTGGGGCTGGTGGACCAGGACTTTTTGGACAATTACGTCGAGCCCACGGACTCCATCCAGCCGATTTCCTTGTTGAGCGGACCCCGGGCGTCTACGTGCTGCTGAGCAGCGCCTAGTCTATGTCGTTTGCGTCGTTATATGCTGGTTTCCAACCCCTTCAGCTTCCAGTACTCCCGCTTCACGTACTTGTTGTACTCCTTGGCGTCGTCCTCCTCGCCGGCCTCGCCGGCCTCGCCCTTGTTGTCGTCGCCTTCGCTGTCGTTGACACTCATCAACTCGGCCACCAGCGCTTTGGGGCCGTTGGGCGCTTTCTCGGGAATGCTCTGTGCTGCCTGCTTCACCACTTTGGGCTCGGGCTTGCCATTGGCCGGTGGTTCCGCTGGAGCGGCCTTGGCTTTCTTCCGTGGAGGCTCCTCGTCGCTTTCCAGCGTCATGTCCGAGAAGTAGTACTTGTCGTTGCCGTCAGCGCCGTCGCTTTCCTCGTCTTCTTCGTCCTCCTCGTGTTCGATCAACGCGTGGTTGGCCACCTTGTGTCTGTCGTCGTTGAAGTCTCTGTCTTTGCCGCGGTACTTGATGATATCGCCAAGGATCAGCTGGTTGATTCGGTTACGGTAGCTGGCGCCGTTGAGCTCGTAGCACTTGTCCACGAGCAACTGGTATGCACCTCCGAAGGCCTTCTTGATGTCTCGGAGGTTGTATGATGATCTGGTGATGTTGTTCAACGGGTCCGAGGGATCCTGGATGATAATAGAAAATACACCTCTGCCCGTTGTGAGAGCAGGATGTCTCGATTTGAGTAGGTACTTCGGCGTGTCGTCGTCGCAGTTTATGGCGATGATCAAGTCGTCGTACGAAAAGTTCCGTCCGTAGAGCTCGAAAAACTCAATCAACAACGTGCCCAAGTTGTCCATGACGGAGATGTTGCCTGTAGACACTCGGGGATGGAGTTTGAGGAAGTGGTATACCATAATGATCGTGGCGTAACCACCAAGACCACCCACATGCACGTTATTGAGCTTTCTCGATCGGAGGAATTGCTTTATGATGAGTACCAACTCTCGAAGACCCGGCGTAAGATCTAACCACCTGCGTATCCTTCTGGCGGCATCTAGACCGTTACTTCTTTCGAAAGAAATGTCGACGTGGATGTTGAAGGTGGGGTCGACAAACTTGATGATGGGCACTTTTGCCGTGGCGATGACTTCGATGTTCTTGGCTAGTTGGTTTTTACGTAGATGAGATGCAAGCGAGTACAACCGCTGTCTCTGCTCGTAGTCGCCTGTAGTCGAGATGATGACCATGTCAATATCGGAGCCCGGAAGATACAAGTCGGTTGCACAGGAGCCAAACACGTGTGCCTGGGTTTTGGGCCAAAATTCTGAGATCTTCTTCTTGAGGTTGTTCACGAGGGTGTTTCTGTTTGTTATTTCTTGCGATGACGGCGAGATGTAGTTGACGAAATCCTTTATTTCAAGTGTGAGCCAGTCGGCGATCTCCTTCTGTTTGGAGTGGTCGTGGCCCTTTACCCATGGGAATGCCAGTTTGCTTTGTAGACTCACATGATGAGTGCCGGAGTTGTCGTCACTGAGAATGCCGTCGTCAGAGTAATGGTCCTCGTCATCGTGCTCAGACTCTGACGAGCTGAAGCCAAACTCGATGAAATCGGAGCCCTTCACAATGTCGTTTTCCGGTTTCCCGTTTGGAGTCTCGGGCTTCTTGGAGTCTGGTTTTTGGGGCAACAGCGCTGGAGCTGCTTCCGATTTTTCGTCCTCACCCTCGCCATCGGAAACAACAACAATACCGCCATCCAGACCCCTCTCGTCGTCAGAGTCCACAAGGATGATATCGTCGCTTTTCTCAGGCTCATCTTCCTCAACGTCAAGAACATCGTAGTTTCCTTCCCCCATCGCATCAGGAGCCTCGTACCGCTTCTTCTTTAGCTTTCTTTGCTTTTTACGCGTCACCAAAGGCTGGACATCCTTGCCTCTTTTCAGTCCCATGATGCAATGAGCTCGATTGTGATTTTTTTTGGTAGGTCTTAGATATCATCACGGTGTATGCAGGTCACATCAATTTGGCTGCAAAATATCCAACATTGCACACCAAAGAAACACCCACACAGGCGTAAAATGACGGCCAGTATATTTTTGGGTCAATGTCAAGTGCCACCATTGCAAGGCACAAAAGATTGATGAGCTTCACGCTTCGGCTGAGCTTGACATAATCGTGCAGATACTCAGAAAGGAGAATTTGGGCAAGATTGAACGCTACAGGTTTCACAAAACTGGGAGGTGGAAGCACTTGAACCGGTTTGAGCTCTTTTTGGAGGTCCACAACATTTTCCTCGTCCAAAGAAACGTCGTCACGGGTCACCTCGGACACCTTTCTGTTTCTGAACAAGAAGTGCTTCCATTTCATCGAGTCCAAGTAGTCGAGGATGGTTCTGGAGGTGACTTCCAAGGGCTCTTCGCCTCCCTTGAGTGCCATGTAGATGAGAATTTCAAAGTCCTCGGTCGCTTCTGAAACGCTCATGGTACTGGAAACTCGGTCTGAAAACCAGGCATGGAACGAATCAGGCGTAAGGTTCTGGTACCACTTCGAGATATCCTTTCTGATCTGCTCGGGGTCTGTAGGGTCCCTAAGCTTCTCAGTGAATGGAATGGCTCCAGTGCACAAATAACAAAGAATCATTCCGAGGGAGTAGATATCACTATTGTAGCTGAAGCTATTGGCCAACTTCAGGCCACGGCGTGCTTTCAAGGATGATTTGGCATAGGTCCAGAGCCGTGGATCCGTGAACTCAATTGTGCCGGTGTTGCCCCGCAGCTCGCTGAGATCATCCTCGATTCGGATCGACTGGTCAGCCAAAAACTGCTTATCGATGAACTTGCCCTCGCCGAAATCTGAAACAAGAACTTTTGGCATCGCTGCAACGTACTCGTCGAGTTCAGGAAGACTGGCAAAAACGGTCTGGATGCATGCGTCTGGGTCGTAACTCAGCTCTAGAAGACAGTTCGAAGGTTTCAAGTCTCTATGGAGAATGCCGTGTGAGTGCAAGTAGTGGACGCCCTTGGCGATGTCTCTGAAATACTTCCACACTTCGAACTCATTGAGCCACTTTTTGGTAGTGGTTGTGGGAGTCACCTGTTCTGCAGAATGGCGTCTCCGTCTCCGCTGTCTTTCAGCCTCGACCTTCTCCTTGGCTGTCATGTGCTGTTCTCTTTGGAAGTTCTTGATAATGAGGTTTTCCAAGTGCCCTCCTCCACAGTACTGCTGGAGAATAAACACATATGGCACTTTCCCGCCTTTCTGACGGTACCCTTCTTTATCGGACAAGTAGAACGTCTCCAGATCTTTCAAATCGCCAAGCTCCATCCACACATGATTGTACCTGATCAAGTTGTTTTCGTTGGCGCCTTTCACGGACAATTCGTACAATATGAGCACTTCATTGAGCACCTGATCCACGTAAACCAGGTGGTCCCCCACGTTAATTCTCTTCACGGCATAAACGCCTAATTGGACGTCTTTCAACACGTGCATCACTTTGTAAACCTGGGCATGGGCACCACTACCCAAGACGTACGGTGGAATCTTCTGGAAAAACCGGTCAAAGTAGCCCTGGTTGAAGATGTCTTCCGGAAGGTCCGAGGAGCCCGTGTCTCCGAGAACATGACCGTACGAAAGCTTCGAAAGCATCTTGAAGTAGTCATCATGCATGAATCCAGCAGGAACCACATCATGGGGATTCATCACTAGACTTTCGTCTCGTAATATATCGGCACTATTTCTTCTGGCATTTCCTGGTGGATTCTGAAACTCCCCTAGTAGAGACCCACAATGGGGACACATATTAGGATAGGAGCCATTGCGGCCCACGGGTTTGTATAGCGTTAAGGGGTATTCGTTTTCGGCTTGGGAGGATGTGAGAAGCTGGATAGAGTTGTCTTGGTTGTCGTGGAGTACTAGGATTCTGTTTTTGGGATCATGGAAAACAATCTCCTGGGTGTGATCGTAGGGAACAATAGACATTGAGGAGGTATGCCCGAGGATACCCGTATATTCCGTGTGTTTCGGTTGGAGTAGGATGTTGCACCACCTATAGATCTATCTCTGTGCATGAATATCGGCGCGAAGCCGGCCAAATCTGGGGTACTGCTCCGATGGCTGCAAAATATGGGTATAAAATGGAGGTTTAATTTGCAGTTTTTCTCATCCGGAGCATGAATTCCATCATAGCGGTCTCGAGATTGTGGCGGTCCGCCTGAGACACGCTGGCGAGCTCCTCGTTGGAAGTGCCCTCCATGCGGTCGATCAAGTCCGAGACAAGCAGCTTTTCGATGACTTCTGGAATGGCTGATAACGGTTCAGGAACTGCCAGGGACTGGATTTTGGCCTGTGCGTTCGAGGAAAGCACGAGCTCCGTGCAATTCGAAATCGCCTCCTCTTTCCCGCTCAGCAGGTTCAAAAAGGTGTCTGAAAATGGCTTCTCGCTGGAGTCAGAAATCACGCTATCGTTCGCCTTCTTCTCGTTGGAATCCGTGCTGGAATTCACCTCCACATCTGTGCCTTCGTGGTACCCGAGCCGTTTCTCCTTCAAGCTCTCCTCAGAATCGCTCACCTGCTTCTCATGCTCATGCTTCTTTCGAGGACTGGCGGGCTCCTCTTCATGCTTGCGTTTCTTCAGCTTCTCGCTATCTTCTGTCTCCGCAGAATCGTCAATGGCATCAGACTCGTTGTTCCTCTCGAACGAGAAATCATCTCGTTCAATTTCCTGAATGTCCTCCTGGTCATTGGCATTTTGGGCTTCAGCACCAGGGGTGGTCACAGAGGCACTTTCTTCTTGCCTAGAGTCGTCTGAGGGCACTTCAACAACCTTTTGAGACGAGAGCTCCTCTCTTTCCTTTGCAGCCATTCTCCTCGTACGCCTTCTCTGCGAGGAGGTTTCTGCACTAGTCGTTTGAACCAGAGGCGTGGTTTGAACTTCCTTCGGCTCACTCGATGGCTTCACGGGAGTCTCAGTTTGCAGCGCTTCTTTCTGATCTTGACTTCCCTTGTTCTCTGCAATTGAAGGAGGTTCTTCAACGGTAGTTTCCTTCTCATCTGTCTTTTTTTCAGAGTCCTTCGTGTGGCCGTCAAGTGCTTTTGTGATGAGAGACTCCAATGCCTTTTGCTGCTGCAGAACCTCATCCAAAGAGCTCTTTTCTTGGGATGGCTTCGAAGAACCATTTGACGAATCAAGAGAAGATGGAAGGTTCAAAAGCGACGAGAACCTGGGGTACTTGCTGAGATTCTCCTTAACGAGCGAACTGTAATCAACGCCATTCTCCTGAGCAACCACTAGTAATGAGTCAAGCTTCAGGTCATCTCTGGAACTCGAAAACAAGTAGTTTGAAACAGAGTCTTCCAAGACAGTCCTCTCGTTGCCTTCAAGCTTCGATATCTTTTGCATCACTTCTGCAAAGCAGGCCTCTATCTCAAAGTCAAACTTGTTGTCCAAAAGGTAGGCCAACAACTCCTTGAAGTCATCCAACTTAGCCCACTTCTGCCTCAATAAATTCAAGCTGGTTCTTCTCAAGTGTTCGTGAGGAGCATCATGCAAAAGGCCCAAGAAAAACTTAAAGACCTGGTTCTTCCAATCCTTGATACGCAAATGGCCGACCATATCTTCAAACTCAGCAGGCTTGAGCAAAACGGTGTGTTGAATAATCTTCTTTGCGACCAAGCTGAAGTCTGACTCCAAGTGCTTGAGCATCCTACCTGCAATGATCATTTCGGAGCCACTCAATTTGTTGATCCGCTTGCTAGTGAGACAATCAGCGATGTATGATTCCAAATCACCGCGCTTGTGTTTGCTGTTAATACGGACAAGTTGATAAACGAAGAGGATGTAGAATCTGTCTCCGATAGCGCCATGAACCATACTGACAACACCATTGAGCTGATGGCTCGTGTAGTATTCAATGCTGTTGAGGAGCAAAACCTCATAACAGCTACTAGATTCAATATCAGAGTCATTCATCAAGTTTCGAGCTCCGAAGGTATCGTTCAAATTCACCAAAAGTTTAAATAATGAGTCGTAAGAAATTTTGGTGTTCTTGCTCAAAATGTTTAACGTGATTGGCAAATTGTCGATGATGTCTTTCGTTGTATCTGATATTTGGGCTTCTTTTTTCGTAACAAACTTGAGCGTGTTCAAGAAGTGATTCATAACATTGATCTTGGGCTCACTTTCGAGTTTATCCAGCCTTACTAGAACTGCAAGGGTTTGCATCACCTTGTCAAATCGGACGAATACCCATCTAGGATTGAGGGAGTGAATTTCTTGAAGCAGGATGCTCTCATTTGATAAACAACGAATGCTGCTGAAGTTTCTGTCATTGGTCGAAGAAGTCGCCTTAATCAAACGTTCGATGATCCCAAGGCCCAAACTATGCATGTAATGGCTGGAAGAGTCCTTCTTGAAATAGAAGTTGACCAACACAGGGAATATGATCTTGTCCCAATAGAAGTCTTGCAATTTAGCGGAAGCCTTGGCTGGGCCGTTGAATAAGTTATAGAGGATGGACATGAATGAGTTGTGGAGAGCGTCAATTATTTCCCTCTGGCTCTCGATCGAAGTAATGTTGACAAATATGTGTATGAGAAGCTTCACCTTCGTTTTGTAGGTATCATCATGCCCGCCAACTCTTTGGTTTTCGTGGGCGCCTGGCTTGTCTTGCGACGTGAGGAATCTCGTATCCCGAAGCTCAATACAGCATATTTTATAAACAACAACCTTCCACGAAGAAATGGCCGTCACTTTGGCCATCATATCCAGCTCGTTGAAGCAGTATTTATGCACTTGAAGCCACTTAGTCAAATACTTCCAGTTCTCGAAGCCATTGTCAAATTTACCGCAGAGGAGAGTCAAACCGACCCAGATATCCATTGCAAATTTGAAGTGGCCATTTTGGATTAGGTCAAGTAAGCTTTCGATAACGAAATCTATCGTGAGTGAGGTTGGTGACGTCGATATGGAAATAAGGTTGTCAGATGTGAATGAACTTTGGGATTGAGGCAATGGCGATTCCAAGAACTTGCGTCCCGCGAAGCAAATGTCTGGATTATCAAGGAAGTTACGAGCAGCCTCCAAGAGGGCCGTGATCCCCGTTGAAACCACCTTGGTGTATAAGGGAAATGACGTGTCACAAAGGTTGAGAACAAGGCCAATGAACCAAAGATGGAAATTCTTTGCCATGAGGTTGGGGAAGTTCAGGAGCATGTTCTTCAATGCAATGAATTTTTCGTTAACCAAACTGGAGGAGCCAAAGTTGCGAATGTTCAACAAGGCGGAAAGCATCTGCTCCAGAATGGGATTAGATAGGTTTTCAAAGATCGCTCTTCTCCGCTTGGGAGCAAAGTGGCAGTCTTTTATGATACTCATATATGGAAGCACCAAAGATTTTGAGATCATGGGACTCACGATCCGCTTGCATGTGTGACTATAGATCCACTGCACATCTGCCATGGGTATATGACGGTTCACCGAAGGCGACATAAGCAAATGGGCAGCAAATTTGAGAGCCTGGTTCAAAACTCTAGACTGGAACGGGTTGTTTCGTGTAGGGGATAGCTTCGCTTGTGGAGGCTTGGATAGTAGAGCTTCTTCAGTTGCAAGCACATCACGACGCAAGTACGTGAACACGTCTCTGATATAATCTGGATTCAGACGGGGTTTGTAGCGGGTGCATTTCTCCGTATGCTGTAGCCAAGGCACATCACCACCGAGGAACAATTCAGCCAACACGGAGGCATCGTTGAGCTTACATATCTGGTTCAAAGTAGCGTACACCTCGAATTTCCGATCAAAGGACTCCAATTTCAATACCTCCATGCACCCGTCTATTAGCTGAGGAAGGTCATTTGATCTGGGCTCAAGCTGAATGATGGTGCCTGGCTGCCAAAAGGCGGGGTTATTAGGCGAGTGGAACTCTGTGGAGAAGGAATGCAGAATGGAATGGGCTGTTTTCATCCACATGGACGAATTGTTAGGGTCGAGTGGAGATGAGTCCGCCATGAAGGGCGCCAGGTTCTTCAAGATCGACTTTCGTGGAGTCTCCATGTGTTTCATCGGGGAGCTAGGGACCATGTCGTCGGAAAAGGTCACGACTTTTCTTCTTCGAACTGGAGATGACGAAGGAGGAGCCATGACCCTGTTTCCCGTAGCTTTGATAGGGGACAGATTGAGCTCGTCTGAAGGCAAAGGAGCAGGTTCCGAGCTCGTTTTTCTTCTCTTGTTATTCCGTAGCGGCAGTTCGTCATCGTCCTCTGGGGTTTGTGCAATTGGAGGTGGGATTTCTTCTTCGGTCAAGTCAATCATAGGAGATACCTCTCTGGAGTCCTGGGAGGTTTTCTTTTGGGATTTTTTACGTCTCGGGGTGGATTTACCCGCTAGAGACGCTCGTGACGATGCTTTTAGCACCAGAGAACGCGTTCTGGGTCTTGGAGAGCGATGTTGGGAAGGGGTGGAGCTTTTTTTCTGGTTTTTGGGTGGCAGAAACCGGGGGAATTTGGCCCCTGGATCGAGGTTGGGCAGCCTCTGTGAATCGCTCGAGACCACGGAGGTCATAGTGTGTGGAAAAGGTGGAATTAGTGGGAAATTACCGCGTATGTAGATGAGTTGACGATGATCTGAACGCGTATGTGATGCGCATTTTAGTCAAGTGTGATAAGTAGCTATATGTAGTTCTCGAGATGGACCAAGTTTTCATTTGGAACGTTTTGGCCAAATGTCTTTGTCTTTCTTGGGGTCAAGGCATTGACGAGGGAAATTGGGTTATGAATGCTGGTCGTACAGAGACGCGTCTAGCGTTCTGGCTTCAGCCGTACTGCAACGTTACAGAGTAGGGCTCGTAGTTCTTCAGCAACTTCAATTTTCCAACTTCTGCTTCTTGGTGGTCTCGTCCTCTTCCTCGTCAGGTGATCTTGCCCTCTTCCTTGATTCCGTAACGGGCTCCTCCGTCGATTTCAGCTCAACGTCCATGCTATCCTCAGTCTTGGGCTCCTTCTTCAACTCAATGTCGTCACTTTTGAGCAAATCGCCAAGCTGGAGCCACAGATTCAGACGGGCTTCTTTGAGACGCTTCCAATGGAGCACAGTCCTTTCTTCAAAAAGCTCCTTCTCACGCTCTGTGTCACCGGCCTGCTGGGCCTCCTCTATTTGTGTCGTTAGACTGTCGATAAGCTTTGTATAGTCGGTGGAGTCCGTGCCGTCTCTTTCAAGCAAATGCAAGCCCGTTTGTGTCTTCATTTTCCTGGATAATTGAGGCGTAGCATGTGTGTTGAAATAGCGCTTGGTTTTGAACGGGAAAGCCGACGTGAGCTTCTCTTTGGTGGCCGAAAGTTCCTCGTCAGTAAGCGTCTTGTCTGCCAAAAGCGGTTGTCCGTCTTTATCCTTTCCATACAAAAGCCACGACCACCAGTGCTCCTCAGACTGGGAAAGGGTCAGCAAGAGAAACGAGAGCTGGGCCTCCCATGTTCGGCTCTGACGAGGAATGTCACGCTTGATATTGAGGAAAATTCTCGCTGAAGACTCAGGGGTCGTCTCGTCGGAAATATGCTTCACGGTGCCTCCAGCAGACCTTAATAGCTCTCTTTTGTTCGAGGCCAGAAGCTCCACAAAAAATGTCGCCACCAAATAGATATGTACAAGAAGAAGTCTGCGGAATGCCAGCGAGTCGAGCTGTTTGAGCACGGTCTCCCGGTCCTCGGTTTCGATGGCCTCGTCTCTCTGAGCATCAAACAGCGAGAGCCAGTAGTTTTCAGGAACAAAAACGGTCTTCTTCAGCTTTTCTGTCGCTTCGGCGATCTCCTCTTCCAGCTGTGGTGGCTCCACCGTGTACAAGTCCCGTCCAGGGTGCTTCTTAGCGTATTTAGCCTCCTGCTCCAAAAGGTACACCGCCAACTTATCTATGGAAGACGCAAGCGTTTGAAGCTGACGTGGCGATTTGAAGTAGCTAAAAGGGTTCCGCAGCAAGCGGTAAAAGGCCACGAGGTCCCGTAGGAGATCGTCATCGCTCAGCTTGGATTTCCCGATTATAGGCTCCTTGCTCTCGCGGTTGGCGATAGCATAGTACTTATTAAGACCCGTCAGATCGTCAAAAGAAAGCATCGTGGCAAGAAACATCCGCACTCTGGCCTGGAACTCGTCGTTGAATGTGTCTTTGGCGTAGGAGTCGAGTTTCCCAAAGGAGTCTCTGACGTAGTACTTGTCTGTAAGGCCATTGCAGAGTCCCAAAAGAGCGATTCTGTGCAGCGTGACGTTTTTATCGAAAACCTTGGATTTGAGGAGGCCGATCCGCAGCTCCAAGAAGTCCCAGAATCGAGATATATGGCTGAGCGAAATGGAGAAAAGCGACTCCAGCACCAATTGGAGAAGCGTGAAGAAGTCCGCTTTGGAGGACGGGTAGGTGCCTGCGTGGATGCTGTTGACCTGCCACTCTAGAAGCAAACAGAGCTTGCAAATCGCCACAACGTGGGATTCAGGTAGTAGGTTCTGGTGGGTCTGGTTCTCTGAGTCCTGGATTTCCAGCACCAACGTGTCCACCACTCTGGTCAAGCCGGCAAGCACGGCGAACTCGGTTTTTTGTTTTTGTATGGCCCTGTCGAAGTCTGATGTTTCTTCGTTTTCACTTTTTGGAAGGTCCAAAACGTCGCTGAGCTGGGGATTTTCTGAAAATTCGTGTGGCGTCGTGAGGAACGACTCGTCGACGTCCGCGGACGAAAGGAAGTCGCCGACCGTCTGTGCAACGCGGTCAATGGGCTCCTCAAGCAGCATGAGTAGTAGTTGAGATGGGACACTTTCGCACTGTTGATGTTGGACAAAAGAGGTAGTGAGGGGGTAGGGAAATGAGGGAAGTAAGGGGGAAAATTTTACTTTAATTAAAGAAGATGGGGAAATTGATTGAGGAGTTTTGGAGAATTTAGTGATTTTGGGGTTTTTTGGGGTTGAGGTGAGAAATTGATGTGGGAGATGGGACCATGGTGGGTATATACTTTTCGCAGCCATTGTAGAGGATGAGGTGGTAGTGAAAGGTAAAAAGACAGGGCATGTAAATGAATTTGTTGTTTCCAGTAAAGAATGAGCATGTAGAGTTGGGATCTCAAAAAAATGAAGCTATGTTAGAGTGCCTAATGAGAATCTGGTAGCTTGATGGAGACCCTCTTGAGGTCTGATGTCTTTAGGTCAGAAGAACAGAGGTAGCCAAATGTGCCTGATTAAGAATTTTTCAGAGTATCATAGGTATAACGGAATTAGGCATTTTTACCAGATTCCGTAGTAAATGTCGAGATATCGAACTTCTAAATTGGCCTATCTACGCTTCACTACCAATCACCAAGCTCATGACATAGATACCCCATGCTTTCCTTTCCACCATTAATTCTATTTATAGTCGGCAGTCAAAGCAATGTTCGAATCCATTGAAGTACCTGACACCCATGTGCTTTGACGTCAATGGGCTTGACGTCCATGTGCTTGACGTCCATGTGCTATTTACAAGAATTGACATGTTCATGACCAGAGAGACATGCCCTTCACTCCATACCCATCACCCAAGATCAAACTTCTTGCTCCTTCCCTGCTTCTTTTCCTTCTGGCGCTTCTTCTGCTCCATTCTCCGCTCCTTACTCACCTTGGCCAACTCCTCCCACTTGGCTTTATCCTCCTCACTGACTTCACCTACAAACTCCACAACCCTTCTAATTTCGTCTCCGAGCTTCTTGAAACAGTCGGCTGTGTTATCCTCCCTGTTTCGACTGCGGTCGCTTTGTATAAGCAAACCACCCAGCTTTGTATGGTAGCGGATCTTCTTTTCTTCGATCTGAGCCAAGATCGGTTTTGGGATCCAGAAACAGAATTGCGGGTTCAACCACTTCCACGGCTCCAAAGCCACGGTGGCTTTTGAGGAGGTTTTATTGACTTTCTGCCCTCCAGGCCCAGAGCTTCTGCTGTATGTGATTTCGAAAACCGCCCTATTGATTTGGGGACTATCGAGCCATTGTTTGGCCTCCTCGATTTCCTCCTTGGAGAATGCTTTTTGGGAGTAGAAGCGGGGTGATGAAGGCAGCAAGGTTTTACTGTTGAAACGAGTCTTGGTGATGCTCTTGGTAGTCCATGGAGTGATGTACTTGTAGTGGTTTCCATGGAGTGTTTGAGAGAATGACCGTTTTTGGGAAAGTTGGTGATGTAGTAGTCTTGGCGAGACATCAAAAGAAACATTTTGCCCTTGAGATAGCAATAATGATTTAGGTTTCTGGATAGTACACTGCTTCAGCCGGTTAGTGGACAAGCTAGATCTTCCTTTGAAAGCATTTAAAGAATTCCTAACTGGCTCGTCAGTTCCGTATCCCAATCTTGTCGAGAACCCCAGCCTCGTGGATCTCGTTACCATGGATCTTCTCCATCCGTCCATTGAAACAACCCTTCTCCAAAACTCCACTTTTTCACTGCTAAATCCACCTCGATGTAGACCGCCATTTCCGGAAAGGATACCACTTCTCGGGACTATTCTCGGGAAGACCACATTCATGCCTCAAACGCGCCAAACCGTGGTCTCTGTATGTGAAGCTCCAAGTCTTTGTGGTACTTAAATGTTGATTTTCCTTCACAGTGCGATACACCTCGACCCCACAAACCACACCACCTACCCACTACAAGTCGTCTACAATTCAATTACAGTTCAGCAAGCGTTTTCAGCAAGCACTTCCAGCAATTGTTTTTAGCAATACTTCAAAACTTCTTCAAACTGCTCCACAGAGATCTCTTCAAACCTAGTCCAAACCCTCCAAGACCTTCTCGGCGTCGGAAACGTTCACCGAGGTGTTGTCGGGCTCCACAAACGTCTTGGCCACCTTGCCGTTTTCAACCAAAACAGCGTAACGGCCGGATCTCTCGTTGCCAAACACCTTGGAGGCCTCGAAAAGCACATCCCAGTCACGAGAAAACTCGCCACGAGGATCAGACAAAAACTTCACCTGGTCGGTGCCCGCCTGGTGGTTCTCGATGCTCTCGCCCCACGCCTTGGTCACGAAGGGGTCATTGACAGCAATCACGTAGAATTGGGTGATTCCCTTGTCGTTGAAGCCTCTGAGGTTTTTGTAGAAACCAGGTACGTGGGAGGCGGAGCAGGCGGGGGAAAAGGCACCTGGAACACCGACAATAAGCGCCTTGTTGTTGCCAATCTCCTCTGCCAAGTTGACGGAGTTTCCTGGAGAACCTTCGAATAAAGGAGTCAGGGGAACGGAGTCACCGACCTTGACCAAACGGGCTGCCGAGGCGTGGAAGCCTCTGAAGGGGGTTCCTCTGGATGCGGATCTATAAAACGTGTTCAATTGAGTTCTCAACATGGAGGAAGAGAGTAGTTGGGATGGTGATAATTGCTGATTGCTGGGAGGTGCTTATATGGGGCGGTGTATGCAGGAGGGTACGATTGACGTGAGCCGATTTGTTGATAGATTTGGAAAGGGGGTTTGGAATTTAGTGGTTTTGACTTATTTGGATGAATTGAGATGATGGCTATGTTTTGGTTGTTTTTTAGCTCAAATCGTGGCATGGTTGGCTCAAAACGGTGAGGGTACATGGAAGTGTGGCTTTAGCGGAGGTGGGGATGCACGGGTTCTAGGGTAGCCAGCGGGTCAATGGCGTGGATTCCGTAGTTTTTTGATCCGATTGTTGAGGGGGATTTGTCGTTTTGGAGATTTTGGAATGTTGGGCGAAGTTTGGATCTGGTGTTTCGTCGGAGTCGGACTTCTGCGACTCCGAAACGGGAAGTATGGGGATATCGAGGAAAACGGATGGTCATGTTCAAAGAGGTGATATGAATTTTTTGACAATCTGTTACTTTTGAGTCTTCTGGAATTGGACGTATGGCATTGAGGTGTGTTCCTTGTAGTACTATATAGTATAGGTTCGCAGCCACCTTGGAGGACATCTTCTGACATCAAGGTGCATGGCGTTTGTAAGAATATCTAAAGATTCTTGCTTTTACGATGTCGGGGTTCATTTAGTAACATTGGAAGGATCCTGTGAATGACCCTCCATGGATGATATCACCATGGGCTAACTCCTACGACACTTATAGATTGGGGATAGTAGTACCAGGACCTAATCGCCACAACATCAAATAGTAAGAAAACAATTGAAGGCAATACCCCACACCAGCTAATTAATATATTTATAATACATAAACCACATGGATTTGCTGTCTATGGCATCAATGAGTGACACACTAGAGAGACATCCCCGCGAATGGCTGCAAAAAACGGCCCTGCGAACTATATAAGCACCAGATTCCCACCCTATCCCTCAGACAAAAAAAATCAAAACTCAATCATGTCACCACAATACACAGATCTCTCAGAGGATGACCAAATCCTTCTTCACTATATTGTCTCAGACCAAAGGCTGCAGGCCCGATTGCGATCTCTTCTGAATTGTGCCCGAGCTATTTCCGTGTATTGCCCACAGTTCCTGAAGGAATTATTAGCCTATGTCCAAGACATGGAGGGGGTGGAACATGATCAACACCCGTTCAGCCGCTTGAGACGGGCACAGGAGGAGTATAAGCCCAACCCGCCTGCTCTCAGTAGGAAGTATCATAATGACAAGGGAGGAGTGGCCAAGTGGAGAATGGTTCAGCTCTACGAGAATATAGAGCAGACGTATGGGGTGAACTTGGGTTTTCTTAAGTAGTATACCGCTCCAGTCAGGGTGCACGGTTAATACAGGGGTGTACTATTGGTGATGTAGAAGGACAACCACACCAGAGGATGCACGAGAAAGTAAAAACCATTTCAATCAACGGTAATCAAATCAACGACTTGATCCCAAAGAACTTATCAAATTCCCATCAATATTCCATCAATCTATTGCCATCAAGGCCGTTCTGGTGGTTGGTTCACGTGACCATACTACCCATATTTTGTCCAACCGCTTTTTATCAACTACATCATGGCCGAAGTGGATAACCAGATTTCGGGCAAAAGAGCCCTCGACCTTTTCAAACTGACCCTCAACTTCAATGTCATCAGCAGATACGACCCCAAAGCCAAACAGCTCTTGTACACGACCTCCCACTGTGTGATATACAAGTTTGGAGAAAGCCAGGAATGGGAAAAAACCGAGTTTCAAGGCACGCTAGCGCTCTATTTGAGAGAGTTCCAGCCTCTAGCGCCTGGAGAGAATTTGGGGTACGAGCTGCTCCAGAAGCTCTTCTGCTACGGGTTGATTTTGCTCAATAGACAGAGTCCAGAGTGCTTTTCACTTGGTCTTTTGCCCAACAAGGTGACAAACCACTTTTTCCCCAACGGCGTTCAAAACAACGGCATTCTCGAGATGGACGTGGAGATCAACGACAATTTGATCATCGTCAAGGACTTGTTGGGAGATATCTACGGATTGTGGGTGTTCAACGAGGAGGACAGAAAGAAGCTTTTCCAGCTCATGGAGTTTTGTTTGAAGAACGATGTTCCTATCATGCAGCAGTAGGGAGGTTGCTAGCTTTACAGTTGAACATTGCATGAAACTTGAGAGTTCTATCTGTATGGGCTCGGTCTGGGCATAGTCCAGTGACCCATGGAGCTTCCGTGAACATTCAAACGGCATGAAGGCGTATTGAATTGAAAGTGGAGGATCGTTCATCACTAAGTTTCTTCAATGAGAGTAATGCTGTCAAGGACCAGGACCACGTACCCTAAAGGTGGATTGGGTTCAGCAGTGCTGGAGTGTGCTTCTAGAAACTTCCTGTTCCAGTTGACTCGAAAGAGTTTCCATCTGGCTATTAACATTGTGTTTCTTGGGTTATAGGTCTACTACAGGATATGTATATGGAACTGGGGTATGGTCCACAACCTGGAGAAAGCGCATGCCTCTAACGCTTCAGCTGCTTTCAAAGCGTCCACATCACATCGGAGATAGAATACAATTGCCTTGAACAAAACATTTCAACCTTCTACTGTTGCATATTGCGTCCTCGGTTCCAGGATCAACCCAAACTGAGCAGTACATCCACATCAACATACACACCACTAAACTCTTACCAGTAGAATCAAATTCACTTTAAACCAATAAAAAACACTCTCTCCCACGAAATCCCCCCTTCTTTCGAAACCTTCATCTCTACTACCATGGGTGGTCGCGCACGTGACCAAACTCGGTATCATGAAAATATATGAGACTATCACCAACCACCACTGTCTAAGACACACCCATACAGCGCCGCCAGGCCATCTGCCCCCGGCTCCACAATCCCCCACAGCATCCCCCACTTTAATTAGAGTATCCCCCACGGTCCCCCAATTTTTCCCCCACCCACGACTCGCTCAAACAAAATATGCTTAGTTCGTGGTCGGGATCGAGACCAACAGCACAACAGCTCCAGCAGCTCACGCCGCAGCAAAGAGCAGCTCTTCAACAGCAGCTTCAGAATCAGCAGAAAAGTGGAAGTTCCGAGAATGCTGCCGGTATAGGTTCACCAGAAACACAAAACCAGGCTTCTCAGCAACAACAACAACAGATGCTCCTTCAACTACAACTCAAACAGGCACGTGAGCGGCCCGGAGGGTACCAGTTTGCCACGTCGCTGGCAGAGATTCTAAAAAAATACTCCAAGTACCCGCCATCGCTTACATTCCATATTTATGAGAACCACTTCCGGTTCAACAATACCCAGGACTCCAACATGATACCCAAGGACAGCGCCATGGCCAAGTCGTTTTTGCACCACATTCTCAAGGAGGAGATTCCGCTGGAAATGACGGAATTGCTCAAGGACTGCGCCGTCAAGTTCTACGAGGGTTGCATCATTCTTCAGGTGTATGATCACCGCCTGGAGAACAAGGAGAAGAAGGAAAGTCGGCAGCTGCTGCCTTCAAAGGAAAACGGCAAGAAACTGCCGCAACAGAGCCCGAAGGAGCAGCCCACCCCGCCCAAAACATACAGAACGCTTCTTAGGCCGACCTCGTTATCGCTCTATTACGATTTGCTCTACCACACAGACTCGGCGCTCACTAAATTCACCGACACAATCTCGTTGCAGATGGAGCTGGAGATCTTGACATTGACCAACAGAAAGGTTGATTTGAAGGTGCCTCTCAATCCGTACAACCAGGACGAGTCGCTTTTTCCTGATCACGAGTACCCCAAGAAAGTGTGGGACGAGGCCAAGCAGGACTACAAAATCGTTCATTCCCACAGAGACGAGACGCCCAGGGAGCTGCGCAAGTTGCACCAGGACCAGCTTGTCATGCACAAGTCCTCCGAGTACGAGGAGCTCATGTTTTTGCTTTCGAGCAAGAACAAGAACCCTCTGGAAAGCACTTCCGAAAACAAGCTCGTTGTGGTGGGTCCTTCGAGCCACAGCGCTCTGGATGCCGTCAGTTTGGAAGGTTCTCCTTCTGTGTTGCCTACTCCTGGACCTACCACAGCTGCTACTGGTAATGGCAGCGCTAGAGAATCCATGACCCCAGGCGGATCTGAAAGAAAGCGCAACGACAAGGCCAGTGCCCTCAGCGCCACGGCGTCGATGCTTGCGGGAAACTCGTCTGGTCAGTTCATGCGGTTGCGTTTTATTGAGGAAATCAGAAAACGCAAGGAGAGCCAGAAAGCCCAGGCTGGTGCCAGTGTGGCCACTGCGGCCGGTGTTGGTCCGGTTACGTCACAGGCGGGCAGCGGAACGGCGTCTCCAGCTCCTGGTTTGAAGAACGGAACCATGAATGCCACCGCTGCTGCAGCCAATTTGCAAAGACAACAGCAGCTCAAGCAGCAGGCCCTGGCGAAACTCATGCAAGGCCAAATGCAGCAGCAGCAAATGCAACATCCACAGCAGCCTCAGCAGCAGCCTCAACAGCCTCAACAGCCTCAACAGCAGCCTCAGCAAACTCAGGCTCAACAGAGGTATTGGCAGCAGCAGATGCAGCAGACCAAGTTGAAGCAGCAACAGCAGCAACAGCAGCAAAGAGCGGCGCAGCTCAACAACAGCGGCAACGCCAACATGGCGCAGAATTTCCAGAATGCTCAGTTGCAGAAGAACATGCTTCGACAGAACATGAACCAGGGCATGAACCAGATGGGCCAGATGGGCCAGATGAACCAGAACATGCAGCAGGGTGTCAGCCAGAACATGAACCAAGGCATGAACCAGAGCTTGAACCAGAACATGAGTCAGAACATGAACCAGAACATGAACCCGGGAATGAGCCCCAACATGGGCAATGTCGCCATGAACCAGAGAGTCAACTACAACGGCATGCCAAACATGAGTCCGCAGATGGGTCTGGCCATGAGCCCTCAGAGGCAGCAGCAGTCCCAGTCTCCAGCACCCAATCAGGCTGCTTTAAGCGACAGAGCCAAGCAGCTCAGGCAGCAGCAAATCCAGATCCAACAAGCCAGGCAGCAGCAGCTCAGGCAACAGCAGCAGCAACAACAGCAGCAGCAACAGCAGCAGGCCAAGAGGCAGAAAGTCGGTCAGGTCAATCAGCAGCAGTTTGCCCAAAACAGAAACATGGCGCAGATGGGCCAGATGGGTTCCCAACCTTCCTCACAAATGGGCACTCCCGTGATGCAAAACGGCAGTGTTGCTACGCCACGGATGGGCAATATGGCTCAAAGTTCGCCTCAAATGGGTCAGCAGATGCCTCCCATGGGTCAACAAAATCAGGGTCAAAGACCAGCGACTCAACCTCAAGCACAAGGTGGAGGAGGAGCACAGAGTACGTTGGCGCAGCAGCAGGCCCAGATTTTCCAGATGACCTTGTCTCCACAAGAACAGAAGACGTTCAAGACTTTGCAGCAAAGAATGAATATTTTGGTTCAGATGTTCAACACGGGAATGTCGCCCAAGGGAGATCCTCTTACCCAGCAGCAGCAGCAAAACGCCATGCAGCAAGCGAAAGTTGCTCAGCAGCTGTTGATGCAACAGTTTCCTTCTTATTTCCAACGTCTTCGTCAATTTCAAATGCAGCAGCAGAGGCTTAAGATGCAAAGACAACAACAACAGCAACAGCAGCAGCAACAACAACAACAAAACTCGTCCATGGGAAACATGGATGGGTCAATGTACCAAAACATGAACATGACGCTGCCGGCGATGCAGCAGCAGATGATGAATCTGCCAGTGATGGGCCAGATGAACAACATGCAAGGCCAGATGAAGAGGTAGACAGAGTGTGGGTGGGTAATATAGTGTATCATCAACATAAGCTAAATCGTGGGTCACTGGTTCTCGAGGGACCGGCCGTACGCAATCAATGCCACCACTGTACCAACAACGTACAATGCTCCTTTGCCCACCTCTTTGAGCACGGTGTAGGTTGCCTTCTTGAGAGGCCTCTCGGGTATTGGTGTCTCCAATGCCGTAGCAGGCACAGGGTCGGTTTCGGTCATCACATCATAGGAGCGCTTCACGCCACAGCATGGCTCAGCGGCGTCGGAGAGCGATGTATCTGGCTCGCCCTGGTCGCTCATGGGCTCGTTGTCGCTTTCAACTTCAGACAGGGAGATGTCGTTCCAGCCGAACATCACCGCCAAGTCCTCGTCTGAGTCTTCCACGCATTCCCACTCGCCATTGACGAGTCTGATCTCGGAGGCTTTGCCGGTCGTACAACACTCGGAGCAGTCCTCGCAGCCTTCGGCATCTGAGGATGCCTCGTCCAGGGTGACGTCGTCGTTGGAGGAGCCGTCGTAGTACTCGTACGGCTCGGCTTCAGCTTCAGCCTTAGGCTCGGGTTCTGGTTCGTCGACAACGGCCTCTATAACATCTGGCTCCACGGTCTCCTCGGGCTTAGCGGTAGACTCGATTTCGACTTCGACGACTTCAAGCTGTGGCTCAGGGTCAGCAGGGGCTTTCACCTCGCTTTCTGCCTCGCTATCGGCATCCTCTCCAGCCTCCACTTTCTCGGCCTGAGCTTCAGGCTCCTCGCGTACGACAACCTCCTTGACGAACTTGACCTCCTCAGGGGGCTCGTCCTCCGAGACAACATCACCATGAGCCTCCTCGTACTCGGGAGTTCGGGTCACCTCGGCAGCCTCGCCGGACTCGTCCACCAGACAAGCTTCATCGGCTAGCTTGTTCTTGGGCGTCAACGTGAGCACATCCTCAGAAAGACCCACATCAAACTGCAAGTGGACCCAGGGGTTGAGCAACTTGCGCAAAGGAATGTTGGTAGGAAGCAGGGTCTTCTCGCGCCACGACCGTACCACGGCGGCAGTACGGTTGACTACAAGCCCCAAGGTGTCGCCATGTTTCAAAAGGTGTGGCTCCTGGGGTCCGATCAAGACGTTGTTGAGGATCGTGCCAAAGGTCGAGTCTGTGTCTTTCACGTAAACAGCATCGTCTTCCTTGTAAACAACAGCATGGAACTTGGAGATGTGGTTGTTGGCGAGGTACAAGTTGGTCAGCAAGGAGGGGCGGTCCGAGGTGCTTCTCAGGGCCCTCCCTATAACCACGGGAGAGCTGATGGAAACTCTTCTGGTCTCGGACATGGTGGGGTATCTGCTAATAGTAAAACTGGAAGTAGAAACTTAACGACGTGTGGTTTTGTAAAGTGGGTATCAAAAATGTAAAGTAGTGTGGAGTGCCTCCTTATCTCAGGAGCTTATCGTGTCAGGGTCCGCCACACGCAGGACAGATCAGTTATCGGGGGGCAAACGGTTTTAGAAAGGGATGGAATTGGCCAGCTAAGAGAAGGAAAAGTAGCTGATCGTGGGATTCGATTTTGTTAATATACTCGAGATTAAAAGAAAGGGGTATTCAAAAAAAACGCGGAACCTTGTAGATTCAGGGGAGGCGGTCCGTATTTATACCTCGCAGGACCATGCATCCAGACAGTCCGGGCAGGTATGATCTGTGCGCTTTGGGGTGAATTGGTGGCGATTGGGCAAAGTGGGGGATATTTTGGGGAAATTGGGGGACAGCGGGGCATTTTGACGTGGGGGTGGGGTACATATTGGGGGACCCTTCAAGATCGATCGGGGCGGTTTGGTGCCCGTTTACGATAAGCATGCCCGCATAACTGGAAACGGTTCGAGGGGTGCCCAATGGGGTGGTATTTGGAGGAATTTTTAATTGTTGAATTAACTAGTATTCTAATACTGGTTCAAGAAAATGATGAATTGACTTTTTTGATTTTGGGTGGAGTGGCTCATTTGATGTTTGTCAGCCACAGTAGTCCGGGATTAAGGAGGATTTGTAGTTCATTGGATCAAATGGAAATCCAATTTATCTGACACTTGGAAGTGAAAAAGGCCTCAGTTTGAATGATCTATGGATAAAGAAACTCTGAATACTGAAAATCACAAAAGATTCCACTTCCCCATTTGTATCTATACTCGAAATGGCGAGGCTACATTTGCAGCGATCATTCAATTCTGGAACACCGAAATTACCAATGATTTTTTTCGTCTGCTACTCACAAATGATCTAAAAGTCTTTTCCTGGCCAAGTGCTAAATGACTGAAAAAAGGCATCTTTTGAATGCCTGAGATCTAATACCACTATAGAATAGCAGATCCCATTGAAAGGACCCCTCCACACAACACCAGTCAATATCCTGTGACCGGCCACTTCCATATTAACGTTCATTCATGGCCACGACGGCCTCACTGTCCTATACATGCCAACTCCACCAATCAAGCTGCAACTGGAGGCTCATACAACTTGGAGAATTCCGTGCCTCCTTGTGGTGATGGAGGTACCTGCAACCAGTTCAAATTATCGTACTCCGCCGTGCCGTCAATGACATGGAACGCATAGGCGTAACGGGACTTGTCCAGGTGGTTCTTTTCAGACTTGTGGAGCACAGAGTGGTTGATCAAGATGAGAGACCCCGCCTTGCACTCCACGAGCTTGTAGTCCTCCTCCTTGTCTTCCTGAGAAGCTTCGCCGTGCTCGACAGGAATGAAATTGCATCCTTTGGCGCCCTGGTCAATCTTGACAAAACGCTTGGTGAGTGGAACCGTCTTGTGCGTTCCAGGATTATACGAAAGACACCCGTTTTCCTTGGTGCAATCCTCCAATGCAAACCAAAAGCCTAGCGCCGTCTGGGGCTTTGTGAACAAGAAGGTGGCATCTGTATGAGGAGGAACGGCGTTTTCTCTGGATGAAGACGAGGCAGAAACAGGGTTCTTGAAGATCATCATACTCTGGAGCACCCGGGGGTCCTTGAAGTCCAAGTCCCGAGCGACTTCTTGCACTTTTCTGTCGAAAGTGATCTCCTCAAACGTCTTATCTTTCATGTGCAACCCATGGCCGATCTTGTTGATGGCCAATTCCTTGGAGTACTTCAAATTGCCCTCCTTGTCAAACGCGTCAGTATCAAAGAAGTACAGCACCTTGTCGGCGGAGTCAAAGAAGTACTCGTCTCCAACGTGATCGTTGTCGCCTGTTTTGAACTGGGTCTTGGGATGCTGAGATGGGTCGAAACCGGTCAAAAGCTCACGTGACCGGCCCATAAGCTTTGCAATCTGTTCTTGGGACAAAAAGTCCGGAATGCAGAGCATTCCTTCTCTGTGGAAGGTTTCGATCTGTTCTTGGGTGAGTGCCATTGTAGTTGGTGATGTTTAGATAAGCGAGAAGACAAAGGGCGCGTGCAGGGCTGATTGAAGAATGGAAAACGACGATAGTTTTTGAAATTGAAATCCGTTTTCTTTTTCTAATAATTTGGTCGTTTCAGAAGAAAAAGAAGATGGTGGGTTTTTATAGATTTATGGAAGGTGGGGCCGCGGAATTGGTCCAGATAAGACAGCCGTGCAGGCTACAATGGCTGCAAATCAACGGAATGGAAGGTTTCCGTGGACCCTGGGGGAAAATCAAGAAAAAAGAGGAATTTGGTTTTTTGGAGGAGTTTGGGCTTTATTTTAATTCGCTGGATATTTTGAAGGTTGGAGCAAAATGGAAGTGGAGGAATTCCTGGTTTACTCGATATGGCTGAGAGTGCTCTAGGGTTGAAAGTCAACAGCTGGAACTAAACCTATCTGTTTTGTATTTTTCCAATTGAGCTTGGTTAAGTACTCGAGAAATGGGCTCTGTTATCCAAGTGTCTTTTGGAAACCTATGTCCCGGTATTTTAGGAGGTGCTTTATTTCATAATGCATCTGTCATGGTCAGTCTAGACTTCCTGGAGCATCCCAAATTCAGCATCTTTTCATGGCATAGCGTGCTTTTTTCACCAGTAGCATCTATAATCCAGCAGCCAGTCACTACTATGCTCTTGCCACTTCTCTTTGGATAATTTGCCCTCTGCAAGATTCTGTCTTGCCATGATTCTTTACCTTCGAAACTTGCCTAAGGCTTAATATCACAGTTCCTTAATCATTTTGGTGGATTCCCGGAGTCTCTTTTTATCGTGATGAGACATTCTTCAGGTCCAGCTTTCCACAAGAACCTTACAGCCCGTACCCCTAGCGCACACACTTCAAGGATATCACCATCACAATCTCTCAATCTCCATTTTCAGTTGTCAAGCAGTTGCAATATTCGCCAAAGTACACCGTGCTAGTTTTACCAATCGCATCAACGATTCTGGGATTTGTATTCTAGTCCCGCCCATTAAAATAGCAATCGTCACTAAATTCCCACCCCTCTACTCTTTCCCGTATCAATTCGGCAACAATCTCCACAGTGAGCTTCTCACCACTGCACTTCACCTCTAATCCTGTCTCAGGAATCTGTATCAAATTCAACTTTTGTTCCTCAGATAGATCTTCAACTCCAGCAGCTTTCATGATCTTTATTCGCTCATCAGAATCAAAATTGTCATGGTACACTGTTGGAACGGAGATTGTGGCAGTATAATCCATGTTTTTAAGCCTTTTGAGGTTCTCGGGTATCCTGCTGAGAGCCTCTTCAGTGCCATACACGGTAGCTGTAGCAATACCTTCCTCCTCCTTCATCTCATAATCCACACCAACACATGGAAACTTTCGAAGCAACTTGACACCTTTGTAGTGTTTTTTATCCGATCTGTCGTATAAACGGTCTCCTAGGAGCTGGCGAACCTCTTTCGGCATCGAAAGAGGAACATCAATTGTCTTTTGTTTGGCCGCATCCTTCTCCCATCGGTAGATCTCGAGAATATCCTTCTTAGCTTTAGTCACAGAAGCCGATCTGCCATGAACTACTATCTCGTCTTCATGCTTCGGACAAGGATGTCTTAGATCGCTTCTTGGGAATCGTATGTCCACCCAGTGTTCGTATTCGATCCTGTTTCTGTGACAATAATTATAGCCAGCTATTCTTTTATGAAAAATAGCATCAATTTGCATTCTAGCAGCTCTGCAACTACTAAGGTGCTTGACTTTAGCGAAAATCCCAGTTGCAGCTCTGTTCACGTCATTTCCAAATCCGCTGATAACGATTGGAGTCTCGGACTTTTCATCCATTAATTGCTTACTTCTAGTTCCTTTCCCCTGATCTAGAATCTTCAAGTTTACACAGTACCCAACCTTGATTTCTCGCCAGGATCTCCGGTCCTTTCCAATAAGTCCTGTGAGAAATTTCGAAGGTACCATTACCGTACGCTCGTGAACAACATCCTCCTTCATCTTCTCCGTTTTTTCCTTGGCTGAAAGGTACCATGAGCGTTTTTGTAGCACGTCAAAAGAAGTGGGTGATTTCAAGCCACCACACCTTCCCAAACCGACATCATCGGTTTTCGTTTCCAGAGACTCAAGAACCTCCTTCCACTTAAATAAACAGTTCTTCACAGCTTCCAAGCTGGACTCAAACGCTTCTTCCACTTCACCTGTTGCAAGATCTATGAGGCAGACGTTCTCCTCACCCAAATAGCATAGAACCTCATTTGCTTGAGCAAATCTTTCAATCTCACTTGTTCTGTCGTAATCTCTGATCCTCCGGTAATCACCAGGTATAATTGTCACATTTTCCGGTAAAACTCTCTCAATCGTGGCCGTCATGACCTCCTTAAAAGATCTCACGAACTCTCTCTTTCCTCTGATTTCAAGATACGGCTCCTCGAAAAGCACCTCCACAGTGCTGAAATACTTGGGTCCCAAGACTCGGAGCCAAAGCTGATCGAATATTCGTCTATTCTCGGGTGAATTTCCGGGGATGAATATCGGTAGTTCAATAACTTCGGTGATATATGATGAAGCGACTTCGAGTAGTGCCGCTTTAACCGCCTGTGCTTTTTCAACAATCCCACATATAGTGATACCCTCCTTAGTGGATCTGACAAAAGTGTCTTGGTATATATCTTCTGATATATCCTGCAACATAAACCACAACCTCCCAGGGATCTTGACTGTCAAAATAGCAGTTTCCTCCATGATCCTGGCATGAATTCGCTTTAATTCTTCTGCAGCTTCAAGCACTCTCGGCTTGCTGCCTTTGATATGGATTTTACAAGTTTGGGGTTGAAAACGAAAGTCAGGATACCAAAAAAAAAGTTCAGGATACCTAGTTTTGAGCTGCTGCACCTCTTTAATTAGGAAGTCCTTTCTAGGAAATTCAAATTCTTCTTCTGCAACGAAAACATTGGAAGCACCTTCCTCGGCGAGTTCGAGCACTTCTGCCTTTGCCTCTTCGCAACCATTTCTCATTCCTTCAATTGAAACATCCACATCGATGTAATAAGCTCTATAATTCGTTGGTAAGTCGAAATAGATAAACTCAAGTTCATTTCGAAATCGAAATCTATGTTCCCGGCGTCTCAACTTCCTTTTAACCTTGATACTCACGTTGTTTTGTTTGGAAATCGCCTTAATTGTTCTTCCTCTGGGTCCAATGACAGTACGTCTCGCAGCTAAATGTATCGTGAAGTTCAATTGACAGTGTTCGGAGTCGCTAGTTGAGTTCAGCATATTTGGAGGGAAATCACGTATTTCTCTGAACTATGGCCGAATCTATCCCTTATTTACAGTCATTCACTTTGCCCCCCCTTGTATAGGAAATCAAGAAATTTGATATTTGCCTTCATCAGATGTGCAGCTCTATCATTCATGCACGGTCCTGTGCGGCTCACCTCCATAAACGGGTTTTCTTGTTGAATATCAGATCTGAAAATGACTCATCTTCAAATTCACAGATATTCCGCTGTACACAACGCTTTCAGGTTATATCTAAATTAGTAGTCTCACGGATCCACCATCGCACGGAAAAATTCTTGATTGGATGTGCTGGATGATGAACTGAATCATAGACCTTTTGCAGCCATGCCTGTTTGTTCATTTTCTCCTCTTTTTCAATTGAGCAGTTGCTGCGCTCGATGTCCTGGATCGAGTTCTCGTCGAATTATCTCGAAAAACCTTATGCATTGAATTTTGAAGGCCAAAATCAGTAAGGGTCTATCACATCTCTCGTGAAATACCCAATTTCTTCCGGAAATCTCACGCTTAATCCAACCCGAAGAAGACACAATCGGCCGAAAATCAGTTACTACGAGCCCTAAATTGCTGTGGGTACGAATGCGCTTCCAAAGACTTGGATATTGATCTCAGATCGAGATCTGCAGCCAATGGAGCCTGATTCTCTTGAAAAGCGCCCGTTTTTTAATTTCTGAACATAATGAACGCCTTAGACTTTCTTGCAAATAGCAGCTCTCAATCTTGCTTGCCAAAAAATGTCTTCGTTATTGGAAGCAACGGGAAAAACTGGTGTGGATTTATCCAAGGTACACTTACTGCAACTTTAGGAAGCCTCCCTTGAGCAGATGCACTCACCTAACTTAGGAATGAGTATAATTCAATGCTTGAAGTTTTCATCTGCCTTCTTCACCCACTTCCTTAACAAGAGCCTCGATGCCTTCTACTACCTTTTCCACAATCTCCCTGTTTCCACAGCATCTGACAATATCCCCATTCTCAGGATTCTGCATTAATCGTTCTGCTTGCTTCCTGGGAAGCATAAAGCCACCAGCTTTCGAAACTATGCCAAACCAGCGGCTTTCGTTGTCGTAGCGGTCCAAAAAGTGGTGAAACTTCTGTGGAACACTGACCTCGACAACATGGAAATTGTGCAAAAGCTTCTCAAGCTCCTTTGCTCCATGTTCAATGGCCTGTTTCGTTCCAAACAAAGTGACAATAATACTTTTCTCCCTCTCCTTTATTGAATAGTCCACCCCAAGACACGGAAAGTCGTCCTGGCCATACACTCTTCCACCCACAAACTGGTCGCTTCGATCCCACAACATCTGCCCTAGATCTTCACAAACAGCCTCTCTTGCACATTTTGGAATCTCTACCTCTTTTTCCAAAGCGCCCTCTTCTTCCAGCTGATAAAGAGCAAGAAGCATTTCCTCAGCTTTCAGGACATCACCAGCCTTTCCTTGAACGACAATCTCGTCCTCATTCCTAGGATACGGGTATTTGAGGCAGTTCCTGGGAAAACGGATCTCCACATTGCACTCTATCTCGATCATGTTTCGGTTTAGATAGTCCGCTCCAGCTATCCTTCTATGGTAGGAGGAGTCGATCTTTGCCCTAGCGATTCTCTCGTGTTGCAACGAGTCCGATTTTTCCATGATACGCTTTTTGGCCAATTCCACGTGTAGTTTTATTCCGGAAATCACAATGGTTGTTTCTGCTTTCTTATCGGCCGTAAGACGACCCCTGGTCCCCTTTCCGTGATCAAGAATTCTCAAATCAACGCAGTACATTGATTTTAGTTCTCTCCAAAGACGACGATTGCACCCAATAAGTCCAGAAACCACTCGGCTGGGTACAGTAATCCTGGTTTCGTAGAACTTGTAGTCACCAGTTTCAGCTACCTCAAAGAGAAGTTCATCAACTGCATCCTTGACTTTGTGGACTGTTTCAGTAGGTCCCTCGATAAAATACTCTTTTGTATCATCTGACGATTCCAATTGAACCAGACCCACAACTCCGTCAAATAACTCCATAAGGCAGTTTCTCGTTGTTCCTCCTGGTCCAATCAAAAATCTTCGTTCCTCTGGTGTAATATCCAAAACGATTCTTTTCCATTTGGTGGCATGCTGTCTCCATTCAGATATCACTCTTTCAACCGCAGCCAATCCGTTCTTCAAACTGTATTTGTTCTCCGATTTTCCTGTGATTAACGGCTCGTCAATGAGATAAAGATTTCCGTTGGTTGAGTACTCGAGAAATGGGTTTTCTCATCTACGTATCTGCTGGGAACCTATGTCCCGGTATTTTTGGATGTGCTTTATTTCATAATACATCTGTCATGGTCTAGATTTCCTGGAGCCTAGCATTGATATCAATTATCCCAAAATCAGCATCTTTTCATGGCATAGCGTGCTTATTCCACCAGTCGCATCAATAATCCAGCAGCCAGTGGCCACCATGCTCCTCCCACTCAGCTAGACGTTCCCGTATCATTTCAACAATTATCTCCACAAGTCTCTCATCACCAGTGCACTTCACTTCACATTCTATCTCAGACGCTTGAATCAAAGTCGATTTCTGCTCATCAGAAAGATCATCCACTCCAGCATCAAATAGAATGGTGTCCCACACATTACCTTCACAGTAATCAAGAAATTCCCTTGGAGCGGGAACTGTGGCGGTGAAGTTCGTATTCCGGGGCTCTTTAAAGTCTTTGGGGATCCCGGCGAGAGCCTTTTCCGTGCCATATACGGTAACTCTGGCGCTTTCTTCTTCCTCCATGATACTATAATCCACACCAGCACACGGGAATTCGTCAAGCAACTGGATGCCTTTATAGTTCAATTTGTCGCTTCTGTCCCATAAACGGTCGCCTAGGTACTGGCGAACTCTTTTCAATGCCGAAAGTGGAACATCAATTGTCTTTTCTGTGGCACCGTTCTTCTCAGATTGATAAATCCCGAGAATACGTTTCTCGGCTTCAACCACATCAGCCGATTTCCCATGAACAACTATCTCGTCCTCGTGCTTCGGACAGGGGTACCTTAGATCGTTTCTTGGAAATCGTATGTCCACTCTGCACTCTTTTTCGATCTTGTTTCTGTGGGAATAGTTTCTCCCGACTATTCTTCTATGATAAATGGCACCAATTTTTATCCTGACAACTTTCTTATCACTGAGTTCCTCGACACTGTCGAGAATCCGACTCACAGCATTGTTCACGTCGTACTTGATTCCACTGATCACAATGGGAGTTTCGGAATCTTCGTCCACTAATTCCTGAGATCTTGTCCCTTTCCCCTGATCTAATATCCTTAAATGTACACGGGTTCCAATCCTCGTTCCTCGCCAGGTTTCTCGATTCTTTCCAATAAGAGCTGTAAGAAGTTTTGAAGGTACCATAACCGTGCGCTCGTGAGCTGTAAAAGTGCCATTTTCAACATCCTCCACCATCTTCTCCATAGCGTCCTTGGCGCCTTGAACAGCATCAGGAGGGCCTTCGAGCGTAATTTTATGCCATCCAACAAGTACAAGTTCACCAGGGCGTCCCTTCAAGAAATCAAGAAAAATGGACGATTTACCAGAGCCTCCGATCATGCCAAACATATACTGCTGAAGTTGACCAACATCCACGGTTACGGTTTCCATGGACTCGAGAAACTCCGTCCACCCAATTATGTGGCTCCTAAATGCATCCAGACGAGACTCAAATCCTTCCTTCTCTTCACCTGTTTTAATAGATGCATCTATAAGGTAGGCGTTCTCTCGATCAAAACGGTATAATATGTCATTCGCTTCGGCAAGGTCGCCAAGCTTGTATGTTTTGTCGTAACGCCGGATTCTACGGTAATCTCCTGGTACAATTGTCACAATCTGCGGTGTGGTTTTCTCAAACGTCGACATCGCAAGCTGCTTGAAAGTTTCCACGGTTTCCTTCTTGCCTCTGATTTCAAGGTACGGCTCGTCAAAAGCCACTGCCACTTTGCCCCAATATTTGGGTTTCAACACTTGACTCCAAAGGAGATTTAGTATTGGTCTGGTATGAGATGCGTTTCCGGGAATGAATTCGGGGACTTTGATAACCTCAGTGGTATATCTTGAAGCAGCTTCTGAGAGTGCCGCTTCAGCCTCTTTAGCTTTTTCCAAAATCCCGCAAATGGTGATATCGTGCTCGTTTGGCCTCACAGAAACTTCTCCATAATAAGGCGATAGGTTTGCGTCTAGACAATTCATATACAGAGTGTCCTTAGGAGCCTTTACCTCCAACACGGTTGTTTCTTCCACAATTCTGGCCTGGATCCGTTTTAAGTCTTCTGTGGCTTCTAGCACTTTCAGCTTGGTGCCTTTTATATAGACAAATTCTCCATCCAGGCTTGATAATCCATCCAGGCGTAATTTTCCATCCAGGCTTACACTGGCTTGAATAAGGAGATTGGGATATTTTGCCTGAAGCAGTTCTGTCTTCTCAATTATGAACATTGCTCTGTCTTCGTCTAATTTGTGCTTTGCAACAAAAACATTGGAAGACCCCTCCTCTGCGAGTTTGAGCACTTCTACCTTTGCCTTTTCGCAACCACTCCCTGTTCCTTTGATTATGACATCCACATCGATGCAATAAGCTCCATAGTTGGTTGGCAATCCAAAATAAACGAACTTGTGGTATGACTTACTTTCACTGTCTTCGTGCTTGCGTGGCCAGCGTCTAAATTTCCTTATAACCTGGATATTCACATCATTTTGTTTTGAAATACCCTTTATTGTCTTCCCTCTGGGTCCAATGACGGTACGTCTCGCAGATAAATGTATCGTGAAGGTCAATTGGCATTGCTCAGAGTCATTGCCTGAGTTTAGCATATCTGGAAGGATACAAGGTAATTTTCTGAATCATGGGCGTATCCACTCTTTATATAGGAAAACCAGAAATGTGTCATTCGCCTTCTGCAGATGTACGGCATGCTTCTTGCGTCTTGAGATAACATTCATGCGCGGTCCTGTGCGGCTCACCTCCAAAAACGAGTTTGTAGTTGAATATCACATCTGAAAATGACTCATGTTCAAATTCACAGATATTCCGCTGTACACAACGCTTTCAGATTGTAACTTAATTAGTAGTCTCACGGATCCACTATCGCACGAGGGAGCTCTTGATTTGATCTACTGGGTGAACACTGATTTGTAGACCTTTTGCAACTACGCCTGCTTGTTCATTTTCCCTTATTTCTTGAATTGAGCTCTTGAGAACCTGGATTGACATTTCGTTGACTTATCTCATAGAGCTATATGCACTGAATTTTGATTTTTTTTTTTTTGAATTCCATCTTAAGTAGTGAGGGTCTAAGATCTTATTACATCGCTCGTAGATTACCCAAATCTTTCGGGAAACCCATGCGTACTCCACTCTTTTCAGACTCGTTTTCCATGGCAATGCCACCACAACTTCCTAAGCACCATCTCTCATTCAAGCGATCTCTTTCCTTGAAGCTCCTCAACCCTACTGAGAATACAAGCTGCAGCATTATCCACATCGAGTTTGATTCCTTTGATAACAATGGAAGTTTTGGAATCCTCCTCCACCAAGTGCTGACTTCTCGTTCCTTTCCCCTTGTCTAGTATCATCAAATGGACGCAATTCTGTTTCTTTATTCTCCGCCAAAACTGACGGTTTCGACCAATAAGACCTGTGAGGATCTTTGAAGGTACCAGAACTTTGCGTTCGTGAGCTCGATACCCACCATTTTCTTCAATATCGTTCACCATCTTGTTTATGGCATCTGTAGCTCCTTGAACGGCATCAGGAGGTCCTTCAATGGTGATTTCGTCTGAAGTAGGGCAGTTGAAGGTAAGGTGACCACGACGTCCCTTCAAATACTCATCCAAAATGGTCTCTTGGGTTCCTCCTTGCATGCTAAACAAAAATATCTGCATTCGACCAAGATGCAAAACGCTTCTTTCCATCGACTCTAGAATCTCGCTGCATTCTTGGAAACAATTCATGACTTCTCTCAAGCGAGAGTCTAAGCCATCTATTTGCTCATCTGTTGCATTAGACCCATCTATAAGGTAGGCGCTCTCTTCTCCAATATAGTATAGAATGTTATTCTCCAGGGCAATGTCCCCAAGCTTGTTTGAAAGGTCGTAATGCTCGATACGACTGAAACTCCCGGGAATCACTGTCACAGTCGTAGGAGTGATCTTCTTAAAAGTCTCCAACACAAATTTTTGAAAAGCTTTCACATCTTCTATCTCCCCTCTGATTTCAAAGCGCAGGTCATCGAAATCCACTTCTCCTTTACCCCAGAATTTGGACCCCAACACTTCTAGCCAAAGCATGGAAATTATCAGTGTATTATGGGATGAATCCCCAGGGATGAAATTGGGAAGTTCGACGACTTCTGTTGTATACTTTGGGGCAGCTTTCAAGATTTTTGCTTCGACTGCCTTCACTTTTTCCGGAACCCCACAAATAGTGAAACCGTGCTCGTCGAACTTGACAAGAGCATCGTCTTTTAAATCCGAGGGTATATCTCGACTTACCAAACCCAGGGTTTTTTCAGGAATGTTCACTTCTAGAACGACTGTGTCCTCCATGATTCTAGCATTGACTTGCTTGATCTCTTCCAAAGCCTCTTCCACTTTCAGTTTGGGGCCCTTTAGGTAAATGGTGTTTTCATCCGTATAGTGGGGAAAATAGAATATAAGTTCAGGGTACTTTTCCTGAAGTGGTTCTGTTTCCTTGATAATGAACATTCTTCTCGTATCTTCCACTTCGAACTCTGCAACAGAAACTTCAGTAGTCCCCTCCTCGGCTTTCTGAAGCACCTCCTCCTTTGCTGTGTCACAATCGCTCCTTTTACCTCTGATTACGACGTCCACGTCGTTGTAGTAAGCTCTATAATTGGTTGGCAATCCGAAATAAGCAAACTTGTCGTACGAAATTGCACAATTCTTCACATCGTTTCTGAGCAGCCAGCGCAGCCTTAACTGCCGTATAATCTTGATAGTCACATTGTCGTGTTTTGCAATAGCCTTTATCGTTTTCCCTCTAGGTCTAATGACAGTACGTCTCGAGGCTAGGGGTATCGTAAAGTTCGATTGACATTGCTGGTCGATGCTTGCATTCAGCATATCTGGAAAAATCACAATATAGCCTTCTAAATCATGGGCGAGTCTCTTCTTTTATAGGAAAACCACAAGATCATCAGTTGTAGATGTACGGATGTTGATCTATGAGTCTACTCACTTTTCGAGATAACATTCATGCAAGGTCCGGTGCGGCTCACCTACATAATCTGATTTTGACACCATGGCGGCAAATTTTCTCACATAAATGAGTCATTCGATATATACTTTTTGCTGTTAATACTGCCCCTGAGTAATTTTTTTTTTCTTGTTTTTCTAGATCAGCAATCCACCGCTTCCACGAAAAATGGCTGCAAATGGAACTAAGGTATGGAGGGATCTCGTTTTCCAATAAAGTGTATCAGCAGGACATTCCAATTTCCCTCATTCTCAAAGCGAATGCTATATCTCTATGAAAAACCCAACCTACGTCTTGGAACAAACACATTTCTCTATCAATCTATACACCTTCACCGTCCAAACTTCTTAAGTTCAATGTACCGAAATACCGGATACGTCAAACCTGCAAACCCACTGCACAAGTAGATTCCAAGATCGGCTCCGTCGTCACCCACCTTTTTCGCAAGAACTCCCACATAGTACACCTGGTTCATGCCCAAAACTGCCCCAGCGACTCCACACAAAAACGAAAGCGTGGCTGCAAGTCCCATACTTCGATACAGAGGTTTGTTCCAGTTGGCCCAGTTGTACAAGGTGGAGATGCTCTCCTCGTCGGTGCCGTCAAACTCGTTATGGTGCAATCTCCTTGTTGCCTTGGTGCCCCTAAATATCAAGTTCTCCTCCAAAAGCAAGGTGATATAAATGGTGATCCAGTAGCCCAACATGGGCAAGAAATTTCCCAAAATATTGTTGAGATGCTCTTTTCCCGCCAACGCAAGAACAAGGTAGATCACCGCCACCACCGTGGTCCATATCCAGCGAGGCACATACGTCAAACGGGTGTCTATAAGCTGGAACTCTAGAGCACACGAGTAGGTGTTCATGATGTTGTTGCAGATAAGCGAGATGTACAAAACAACAATGACAAACTTGCCGAATCCGTGCCAGGGTTCGAACGCCAGGGCGAAAATGCCTCCGATTCCGTAATTGTCGTAGTTCTCTGACCATGGCTGGTACGAATATGCGATAGCTCCGGCGATAACCGAGCAAATGGCTGCAAAATTGGACGGCACGGCGATTCCCAAAAACGTCAAAATGAACACCTGCCAGGAGGGTGTATCGTCGGGAAAAAGGATATAGTAGTCCGAGGCTCCTCCACCCCAGGTTGAGGTGACCGAATACGCCAATGCAAAAACAGAAAGCCACTGGCCCGTGCTTGTTTGCAGGCTGATGTTCAAATCGTCAATGGCCTGGTTAGTATCTGAAATGTGGCCGATTTTTTTGGCCACCACAATGTAGAAAAGAAGAATAGCCACATTGGTGGGAATGGCCAAAATCGACTGGAACTTGAGCAAAACCCGGATTCCAAAAACGCCGATGATCCAGCTCACCACCATGACCACGGCGATCCCGACCTCCAAATTGGCATCGCTGATCGCCAGAAGAAGCTGTCCTCCAGCTACGCAGTTGATCACAGACCAACCGATCATTCCGATAATCACGATGATGGCGACGATTTTCACAAACCACTGGCCAAAAAGGAACCGGGCCGTGACCATCTGACGACATCCCGACTGGGGCCCCATTGTGGACGAATATGCTGGAACGAGGTTGCCCAAATTGATACCCAAAAGCGATGCTACTAGGGCATTCTTCAAGTTCAAGTTGTACACCAAAGTCGGTAGGAAAAACGACGACATTGTGGTGACACCGCCACAGGCTGCGAGCCAAAGCCCTATAACCTGGATAAACAGCCTCCATTTCCCAATGGAGACCTTTTCTTCCGGAGTCACCCTCTCTATACCTCTGATCTCGACTCCGAGGTTATCGAGCTTGTACATCCACAGGAGGTACCTGGAGCTCGTAACCACATTGACTTTGTTGGTGGACTCGTCGTACTCGCTTGCAAACGAGACTTTCTCCTCTGCCATCGGAAAAACTGGAGATGGAAGTGGAAAAATTGCTGAGCTTTTTTAAACGGCTCAGGGTCGGGTGGTGTAAGCGCATATCATGCCGGCCGTCAAAGTCGGGTGCTTGTGTGCAGGATAGTATATATCGTGCGTCTCATGCGGCTATATCCACCAGAACGAGGCATCCACTTCTGTGGGGTAAATGATCCGGATGTCGTCAGTTTTTCCGGCGTCTCGATACTACATGATTCATGAATTACCGCTTCTTTCTTAATGATAATTGAGAGGACGTTCTTTCAGTCCAAAGGTTTCTTCCCTATTTAGGCTATATACATGTGGGAAGCACTGATCCCTCTACTTGTAGAGGAAACCCAACCAGGAGTTTTTCCGGGCCTCTCTCTCGGCCTCTGGAATAAACGACTCAACGTACTTTTTGATCTTTTCAGCACCCAGCTTAGCGTCCACCTCACGGCCAATAACATCCACAAAGTTACCCTCGCAGTCCATAAGATAGAAAAAGATGGAGTGGTCAACCAAGTAGTCCTGGCCAGGCTTCACATCTGGAGGCGTGGAGAAGTACACTCTGTATTTCTTGCACACGTTCTTCACCTGCTCATACGTGCCGGTCAAACCAATGATGCTAGGGTGGAAATCTTCAAGGTACTGCTTGATCACATCAGGGCTATCTCTAGCAGGATCGCATGTGATGAAAACAGGCTGCAACTCGATTCCCAGGTTGTTCTTCAAATCTTCAAGCATCTCGCCCAACTTGTCGAGCTCGTCAGGACACACGTCGGGACAATGAGTGAAACCAAAGTAGAGAATGGAGAACTTCTTCTTGTCGTTCTTCAAGTTCTCCTGAGTGAACTTTTCGCCCTTTTCGTCCACCAAAGTGAAGTTTCCACCAATCAAGGGCTTACCCACGCCCCTCTTGGCCTCCACCTCCTTCTGTAATCTCAACTTCTCCTTCTCTCTGGAAAACCACCATGTGAAGATACCTCCACCGATAATGAGAACGATAACGGCTCTCCAGGCGGCAAATTCAATGCCTTTAGAGACCGGAAGCTTCTTCAGCTGCAGCGTGCCGCCGATAGCCACACGGCTTAGAGGTCTTTTTTTGTAGTTTGGAGTGGATTTTTGATCGGCGAATTTCTCGGGTTCTTCGGAGCCGTTTTCGGGCTTTTTTTGGTTCAACAGGATCCTTGAAACGTGGAGAAAACGACTGGATAGCAAAGGAGCTCTCACGAGCGCTTGGCGGCGTAATATGGGGAGCATACTGGTGGTGCTTAGTGGAAGCGAGTAATCTAGATGGGGTGATGCTGTGGTGATGTGCAGGACATTTTGATTATTAGGTGACATCAAACGTGGAATTCCAGCAGGTTAGCCAGTATTTGGGGAAAAGGAACTGGTGTTGAATTTGATGGTTAATTTTAAGGGGTGGTTTTGATTGGATTTTGTTGAAGTGGTGTGTCAAATGTAGCAATGGTGTTGAGAAGTAAAAAAGTGATGTGAAGTATGTTAACATAATTGCAATGTTGTGGAGATTTCCAGAAAAAGAGGTTTTTGAAGAAAAATTGAAGAAGAAAATCCACTGCTATCAAAGTTGGATCTTTTGTGTGGACGAAATTTCGGCGCTCTCGGGGTTCGGTTCCTTCTCCGAGACTCACATCTCATGAAATACCTAAACCAGACTGATTCTCCCTTCAGAAAGAGAGACAATAATGCATTCAGCTGTAGTTACCGTCAATATATTTCCACTAAAATAACCAAAATCGCCGCTATCACATACTCTCGAGGTCTAGGCCACATTGCTCACATTTTGCAGCCATTCCGTAGCACCCACCAAACCACGCAATGCTCTCCAGATTTTAACAACTTCTGCCGTTCTGAAGGGATTTTTAAGAAAAACAAAAACAATTCCCAAAAATTTATGCTTTTTTGCATCCCAATACCAACAAATCATCCATCTTCATACCCTCACCTTGCATGTCTATACCCCAACCACTCACTCCCAGCTCCACAACATACAATCTCAAATCCTTCTATTTTTTAAATCCTCTCCTTTCAATCTATATCAATCCAGCATACCCTTCCTTCACTCTTTAAAAACTCATCATTTTATGCCCCCGGTCCACCACTGGACCCACCTGACCATGCACATAGACCACCCAATGCCAACCCTACCTCCCCAGGTGGCAAACTATAAATACGGCCGGATCCCCCGAAAAAACACCATCGCCAATTATTTCAAAAATCCCCGTACCCCCTTTGCTTGCACCATTGCACCACCCATCTCCCCATCCCATCTGACCCATCTACACCATCTTCGCGAAGATTCCTACCACATCATGGCGACCTTGGCTAATCTTATAGACTGGGCGTCCAAGAAAGGGTCCACCGTGAGCGAAGGAATTGAGTTCAAAAACGTCGATAATGAGGGGAACGCCGCCTACGCGTCCAAAGACGTGAACGCCGCCGAAATCAAAATCCCGGTTTCGATGGCCTTGAAGCTCAGCGATGCCCTTGAAGCTTTCGGCAAGGAAGCCAGGGACATCCCCCTGAAAACAAGAAACATCAACGCCTTGACAAAGTTGTACTTGGCCTACGAGCGCAGCCACGTTGAAACCTCCCCATTCAGCGCCTACATCTCGTCACTTCCCCAGTTTCCTGAAATGAAGGCAAGTCCATACCTCTGGAGCCCAGAGGAGACAGCCAAACTCAAGGGATCCAACTTGGGCAGCTCCTTGCGGGGAAACATCGCCAACATCGTCGAGGAGTGGTGGCTGGTGATCAGCATTTTGCCCGAAAGTATCGAGAAACCCTCCAACCACTTTGTCAACATGAAGTTCTACTACGAGCAGAAGTTCCACACGGAGGAGGAGCTCCACAAGTACATTGTGGGCGAAGGCGCCGCGTTTGACAACTGGACGTCGTTTCCCAGCTATCTCTGGGCATCCATGATCTTCAAACTGCGTTCTTTTCCAGGCTACCTTCTCAAGGACAGTAAGACCGATCCTGTGAACTACCAGCAGGAGGATAGTGCTGTTTTGTTGCCGGTGATCGATTTGCTCAACCACAGTCCCTCGGCGCAGGTGGTATGGGCGGTTCAAAACGACCAGTTTGTGTTTTCCTCTAGTACCCCATTGAAGGCTGGAGACCAGCTTTTCAACAACTACGGCCAGAAGGGCAACGAGGAGCTTCTTTTGGCGTACGGCTTCTGCATCGACAACAACGAGGCGGACTCTGTGGCGCTCAAGGTGAAGGTTCCCGTGGAGTTGTTGCCTGAGATGGAAAAGAACGGCTTGAAGTTGCCCAAGATTTCCGACTACACCACCTCGGTGGTCAAAAGCGAAAAGAAAGAGAGCTACGATGACTACAAGGACGGGCTTCTCTTCTTCATCACCAAACAGCACGTTCCAGACAACTTGGTGTTGCTTTTCCAGTTTCTCGTCAAGTCCAAGTGGGAAACCAGCCTTACGTTGAGAATGAGGCTCAGCGGACTCAATCACTTGAGACAGGCGGTGGAGTCCAAGGCGGCGCTTCTCGACTACAGCAAGCTTCCTGCCGATTCGTCCAACACCAACACCGCCAACACCAGAATCTACCTCAAGCTGCAGAAAAAGATCATGGACTCTGCGGTCAAGCACATCAAGCGCATGGAGAAGTCGCTTTTGGACGAGCAGAAAAACAAGCTTTTGACGCTCAAAAGCGTCTACAAAAGAGATACCAAGTTCCTGCGTTCTCTTCTCATCACCATGGGTGTACTGACATGGGAGGAGATTGTCGAAAAGCAGCTCATGGACCAAATCTGGCTCCTCTACCTCATCCGCTGCTACAACCGAGACGAGTACATCAAGGGTGCTCAAGACGAAGAGGAGAACTACTTGCCTGAGTGGATCAAGAAGGCTTTCATCAAGATGGACGCCGAAACCAGTATGGAGCCTGCCGAGGTGGTGCAGTTCAGGCAGCTCTACGAAAACATGATCATCCCCATGAACGAGGCGGTTCCAGAAATCTACAACAAGGGCAAGTGGACCGTGAGAGAGCTCATTGTGAGCACCAAGCTCTTGGATACCATTGGTTTTGTGCGTGGCAAGGACCAGGAGTGCATTCTCGTTGAGCAGTAAGCCAAGCGAAGCTTGCAACTGGTGGTTTCTACATCGATTTTGAAAACGTCATTAGAGCTGTGAGTCGGCGCCTCGCCTGAAGGCAAGCGACAGCGCCAATGTATATACGATTACTCCTCCTTGATACCGCCGGCACCGCTGGTCTCAGCAGCGTCAATGGAGGCCTTGTCGGTCTTGACCTCGCCACCGGCACCCTGCAAAGCCTGCAACAAGCCTGGTGCAGCCTTGAAAGGTCTCTTCAAGTCGCCCGAGGCAGCCTTGCCCCACAAGTGGATCTTGACAATGTTGGTCTCCAAGGCACCCTTGACAGACGAGATGCTCTGCATGACCAACGGGTTGGTGTATTTCATGTACACGTGCATGAAGCCCATCATGGCCAAGGAGGTGAAGAGACCCTTGATTTGCTGGTCAATCTGCTTCAAGTCGTACTCCTTGACGGTGGTCACGACGGCCTTGGGCTCGGGCTGGCCAGCCATGGGGTTGGCAGGCTCGACGTACTTCAACGTGGTCAAGTCGTTCTTCTTGTTGATGGAGAACTTGACATAGAGGCACACAGCAAAGGCAATGGCCTGGCACGAAAGATAGGCGATTCTGACGTAAAACAAGATGTCAGGGTCCTCGAGGTCCAAACGACGAGAGACCTGCATCATGACGAGCATGAGCGCCAAGTTGGTGATAGCTGGGTTCATGGTTGTAGTAGTGAGTGAGGTGTACCAGCTGGCGAAATTTTCGATATCTAAAGTATGCTCGCGGTTACCCGGCACTACTACCTGATAAGGCTGTGGAAGGTGGTGGAAGACAAAAAACAGAAATCAATCTACACATACAAAATAAAAGTGGCGGAGCCGGGCGAAAATGGCTCCGGTTTCCATGCTTCATTTTTAATTCTTACTT